TATCAGTATCCTATCACTACTTAGGACTGGCCAAAACCAATTAGTGAAGTGAAATATCATCCTACATAGTTTTATAAAATACTTTCTATTGGGGGCCATAAGAAATTAAATTTATACTCCATTTTTCTTCTTCTGTGCTTGAAATTTAAAAATTAAAAAAAAAAAAAAAAGAGAGAGTGTGGAATTGTGTACATCAGAATTGCCTCATTCTTAATAATTTTACCTCGTCCATACGAGACTGCATCTTCGTGTCATGCTTCCAACAGGAAACATAAACCTGGGTCCTGGTACCAAGATGCTCCCAGTGTTACATTTCTGATTAATTAATTTGGAATTCATTTTCAAGCCTCTTGTATTTCTGCACTGATAGCACTGTTCTGCTCTGCTCTGTATTTAAGGGTGTTCTGTCAAGTAATTTAGTAAAGAGTTCAATTCTTGCTTTGTCTGCAACAACATTTGAGTCTAAAGGCTCTGTCCTATCCCTTTAACATGAAGTCCCTTCTGCTTTGGATCTCAAGATGTGTTTCTTTTTCCAATCCGTGCTAAGTTAATTATTAAAAATCAGTTCAATAATTAAGGAGTTATACAGATTCATCTATTTTTTAGCACTTTTGAGTGTTTCTGCTTGCAGTATTTTTTTGGGGAAAGAAATAATTTAAACATAGCACAGCTGTTGGTCTGTTAAACCTTTTCTTGTCAAACAGGTAATTTGTTTACCTGTTGCACAGCCCAATGGCAGACATTGAAGGTTATTTCATGGGCTTTGCGTGTTTTATCTGAATTGGAGTTTGTTTGCAAGGGGAAAGAAGAAAAAGAGCTCTGTGCCTCCAAAGGGTGGCCAAGGAACAAGGGTTTTGTTCCACGGAACCACCTTTAGCTGTTCATGGTCTTTATAGAGAGTCTGTTGGTTCTCTGAGGGAAAGAAACTGGAGAAGATATCTGAGAAAGGAATCATAGAGTCACAGAATGGGTAAGGTTGGAAGAAACCACAGTGGGTCATCTTGTCCCACCTCCAGCAGGATAATCCCAGAGCACTTGGCACAGGATTGTGTCCAGGCGGTTCTGGAATATTTCCAGTTTCTGCTCATGGCCTCTTGTCCCATTGTTAGGCACCCCCAAGCAGAGCCTGGTCCATCCTCTGACCCTTCCCTGCAGACACTCATGGACATTGAAGGTTGTCTCCCAGCTATTCCAAGCACCCAGAATGTTATCCAAGGGATCTGTGTGGGTCTGGCAGATGGGACACAGGACTTACATGATAGCAGTCTGTCTAGAACAGCAGCTAGAGACCAAACATCCATCCAAAATCACGTTTAAGCACCTGAAACCAACTCACATTCCCCAAACAAAGTGAGAACAACTGGGTGTATGATGTGGTCCCACCAAAACAACAGTGCTGGAATGTGTTATAGTTAAGGCAAAGAAGGCTCAGTTATGGTCCCTCCTTGGCACCAGGAAAGTATTATTGACCTGTGTGTCACTTGTGCTGCTTAGAGTAGAGGAGAACCTGACCTGCAGGTGTTGCTTTATGATGTGGGAATATAAATGGGAAGCAAGGAAATGTGTAGATATAGGGCTTAGGGACAGTGCTGGGTTAATGGTTGGACTTGATGGTCTTAGAGGTCTTTTCCAAACTTAATATTTTTATGAGTCTATGATTTTATGGAACTGGAATCTGCTAAATTTGTTTGCTCCTTTTTCCCTAATGAAAATACACTAAATGTTTTGGAAATTTGAAGTAGATTTTGAACACACAGAGAAACATCCCACCCCACCTAAATCACCAGGGAAAAGGTAAAACAAACTTTGGAATGGGAAACAGGGAGGTGAGCATAGCAAGAAGTGAAAAAAAGAAAAAGGGAAAAAAAGAAACGGGGGAATGTTTGGATGCCTGGAATATTCTTCATTTAAAAGAAAAAAAAAATTGAGACGATTTTACTTAAAAATTTTTGCATCAGAGCTTGAAAGCAGGGAAAAAAGCCTGAAACATGACTTTTCCATTAGAGCATGTTTTGAATGCAGATGGGTTTCACACCTCTCAGTGACAAGAGTTGTTGCCCAGCAGTGTTGCTGTAGTATGTGTGTGACAGATGTACTCCACGGGAGTCAGTTGTGGGCCTGGACACAGATGCACGTGAAAACACATTAACACAGGCACACAAATCAGGACTATAAACAAAATGTCCAGAGCTGTGCACTGCTCAACATGCAGAGGCTGCTGCCAGTCTCTTGCTTTTGTGCCAGTCCTAAAAAATCATGAGAACCACTCAGTGGAAAAAAGGTAAATGAATAAAAACTATGAGACTACTGCTAGTAAAAGAGTGCACATGGGTTGATGTTCATTCAGGTTTTTTTTTTTTTGAGCTGGATGAAGCTGTGTTGAGGGTGAGGTTTTGGTATCTGAGCCCATGAGCGGTGCAAGGTGAGTTTTGGCTTTGTCTGCATGAGAAAACTGTGTGGTCCAATAGAAGCTGAACTGTAAAGCAAATGATGTGGGTGCTGAGGATGCCGGGTCCACCCTGTACCTGTTTTAGGGCTACTACAGAGTCTTTCTAGTTTGGTTCCATCCGTGTAAAGTGTATTTTATATCCCACTGCATTACAGCTTCTGCATTAGTTTCACAGAATCACAGGATGGGTCAGGTTGGAAGGGACCACAGTGGGTCACCTGGTCCCACCTCCCTGCTCAAGCAGGGCCATCCCAGAGCACATGGCACAGGATTGTTTCCAGATGATTCTGGAACATTTCCAGTGAGGGAGACCCCACAACAGCTCTGGGCAATCTGTTCCAGTGCTCAGTCACTGCACAGGAAAAAAGTTCTTCCTCATGTTCAGGTGGAACTTCCTGGACAGCAGTTCCTGCCTATGGCCTCTTGTCCCATTGCTGGGCATCCCCGAGCAGAGCCTGGTCCATCCTCTGCCCCCTCCCTGCAAACCCTGACAGATATAAATGAGTCCCCTCTCAGTGTCCCTTCTTGAGGCTGAACAGCCCCAGCTCCTTCAACCTTTCCTCATCACAGAGATGCTCCAGTCCCTTCATCATCTTTGTTTCCTTCTGCTGGACCCGTTCCAGGAGCTCCCTGTCTCTCTTGTCCGGAGGAGCCCAGAACTGGACACAGCACTGCAGGGCTGAGCAGAGGGTGATTTGTTTGATGCTTTCCAAAACAGTTCATGGCATGAAATGAAACACCTTGAGTGAACGATGTCTGGAAGATTTTCTTTGAGAAATTTCAAGTATGATTTAAGAAAAAATGCAATAAGTCAGAAGTATCTCAGGTAGGTTTAGATGGCCGTTGTTGACACACAGGTCAGGTGCTCCAATATACTTCAAGATGACAGAGTATAAAGACTTGATTCTTCCTTCTCTGATTCTGCAGTGAGTTTATTGACTTGAAGGCACTACTTCTTACTCCTGACTTCATTAAGGAAAGAACTGGGACAATAAAATATAAGCAATGAGGGCACTAGAGTATAAGGAACAAGAAAGTGAAACAAGATACGGAGAGAGAGAAGTTTGCTTAGAATAATTTGAAAGTGATTTATTAGATGCAACCTCTACCCTCAGTGATTTCTGGTGTTATTACTTTTCTATAGTACAACCAGGGAGGACAGTAACTTGCTGTGGGCTAAAGGTAAATTATGATCTATTGCAAGGGAGGGAAGGAAAAGTGTACTAAAGGTGGGTGTGTGAGGCACATACTCTCCCCTGATGGTGTTCAGGGTGATCTCAATGGACCAGTCTGTTCCAGAGCCTGCTAGGGAAAAGGAAATGTCAAACTTCATGAAGTGAAGAAGAGAAGGTTAAAGTGCAAGATTTTTCATTGCTGGGGCTTGTTGTACACAGATTGCATAGAATCATTGAATTTTTGGATGGTTTTGGTTGTAAGAAACCTTAAAGCTCATCTCATTCCATGTCCCTGCCATGGACAGGGACACCTCCCACTATCCCAAATTGCTCCAAGCCCCGTCCAACCTGGCCTTGGACACTTCCAGGGACACTTCCAGGGATGGGGCAGCCATCTCTGCGTAACCTGTGCCAGGGCCTCACCATTCTCACAGCCAAGAATTCCTTCCAAATTTCCCATCTAACCCAGCCCTTTGGGACTGGGAAGCCATTCTCCCTTGTCCTGTCCCTCCATTCCTTCTCCAGTGTCCCTCTCCAGCTCTCTTGGAGCCCATTTAGGCACTGGAAGGGGCTCTCAGTTCTCCCTGGATCCTTCTCTTCTCCAGGATGAACACCCAGCTCTCTCAGCCTGGCTCCTCATAAGACTTGCTCTGTAGACTCTTCACCAGCTCCGCTGTCTTTCTTTGGACAGAAGAATATGTTTTTGTAGATGCCAGTTATTTGCAGGTCTGGATTCCCTGTATGTAACTTTGAACTGGAGAACTGAGAACTCAAAATGATATTTACACCCAGAGAAGGATGATGATCCCTGCAGAGTAGGCTATTCTCAGTCGGTTATAAAGGGTGATTAAGAATAGAGGGTTTCTCGAAGGGGTAAGTTAGTTTGGGGGAATAAAATTGAACCTTATCTCTCACTGATCGTTGAAGAAACTTCTCATCAGCATGTTTTTTCAGCTTTTTTGTGACGAGTAAAGACAAAAGATATAAACTGAAGGTGGTGTTTGGAATTTACTGCCTTTCTGATCCAAGCAGATGTGCAAAAATCCCCTTTTTTTGTAGCATTAATCCCCTTTCTCCTACACAGCATCAGAAGGAAATGAATGATGGTGAGATGACCTAAGAGAGGAAGTGTTTTCTAATCATAGAAACATCATAGAATCACAGAATGGTTTGGTTTGGAAGGCACTTTAAAAATAATCTCATTACAACCCCTTGTCATGGTCAGGGACACCTTCCACTAGACCAGGTTGCTTAGAGCCCCAACCAGCCTGGCCTTGAACCAGAAACATGTTGCTCCTGTTTAGTTTTGTTTCTTTAGAGTTGACTGACTTGCTTTTTAAAATTCTTTTTAAAATTTTTTTTCTTATTCTTTTCAGGCTGGATGCCCAAAGTAGTTTTCACACGCTTGAAATCATCAGCTCATGCTAATGACACACGATTAATGCTCCAGGAACCTGTTGACTGGGAACCTGGTGATGAAATCGTGGTGGGAAGGACAGGCCTTGGAGATGCCCAGCAGCAGGAAGAAGTGGCTGTTATCAAGTCTGTGAACAACACAGAGCTTCACCTTAGATCACCACTCAGGTATCCTGTCAAGAGCCAAGGGGATTTTTAGAGCAGAGAGCTAAACAAGGAGAAAATTCGTTCAAAGTCAGGATTTGCCATTTCCTGTGGGACATAATAACTATATAAATCCCTTTAACAAAGGTGGTGAGAGATATTTCAGTTCCTCACTCCCCCTCAAGCCAGTGGACATTCAATGCTGACTGGTTTTGGCTGTATTTAAGTTCTGTATCATTCCCATGAATGCAGAAAACCTTTGAAGCAGAAAACGCTCATGGCCAGTAAAGTCCAGTGGCCTCAGTATAGGGATGACAAAGAAATTTCCTGCATAGTTCATTTCTTGAGAAAGTGCATCTTTTTCACAAAAAATGTGTCGGACTTCTGTAAAAAATAATAAATCCCCTCTTTTTGACTGACTTACTTAAGGAATACACTTAAATTGAGTAGTTTTATTTGGAAATAGTGCTTCCATATTTCCAGTGAGTGGTGATTTCACTGCCTTATGCTCTCTTCATTTTCTGTGCAGTGGACAAACTGTACTTCTCATCATCTCCAGTGTTGAAACATGGTATCTGTTTAGAAGTCAACACAACTCCAATGCCCAGGAAGATTTATGGTATCATTTTCAGAATTAATTGGGGATAGAGGAAGAAAGTACTGATGGTTTTCATCCAAATGTATTATGGGAAGGGAATTCAAAGGCTGAAGTATTTTGTTGTAAATATCATAGAATCATAAAAGTTGGAAGGGACACACAAGGATTATTGAGTCCAACTGTCCAACTCCTGGCCCTGCACAGGACACCCCAACAGTTCCAACAGTCACAATGTGTCCCTGAGAGAATTGTCCAAACACTCCTGGAGCTCTGGTAGCCTTGGGGCTGTGCCCACTGCCCTGGGGAGCCTGTTCAGTGCCCAACCACCCTCCAGGGGAAGAACCTTTTCCTGATAATATAATAATATATTATATACATAATCTAAGGGAAGTTTGTGAGCTTGAGAGATAAAAAGATGAAAACAAACATCAGACAAGGAAAAATCTATTTAGCCCATATGTAGAGACACACTGGATGTGCCACATTGTGTGCCCACAGTGAGAAAAGGACTGAAACCAGCTCTAAATTTGGGCTGTTAAGGTCATAAACATAAGTAACAGTAATTCATAACATAATTCTTGCCATGTTGCAGGTGCAGATGATTTTATGTCTTTTTTGTGTCTTTTTCTTTAGGTACTCCCACAGTGTTGGAGAGGGGTGGGGCAATGGCCAAGGTCAGCCTTTGAGTGCTGTGGTGGCACTAATCAGCAGAAAGGTTGTTGTTCAAGGAAATGTCACCCTGGAGAGAATATCCCACCTCAGACAGTGTGCAAAAGCAGGTGTTACAAAAGGTGAGGAGGTCTTTTCTCACAGAAATGCATCGAGGAGGAAAACTGCTCCATTGAAATCCTCTTGCGGCATCACTGTGTATTAGAACTCTTCCTTCACAGGATAACTTTGAGACATACCAATGCCAGGGAAGCGAGTTTGTCTTTCCAAACATTGTTTGACATTGAAATGTGAAGTCTTGGGAGTTGAACTGCATTTCCTTGTAATATCTCAGATGTATTATTTTCACATTGTTGTTTCAAGCCATCTTGGGAAAGACCCTTTAGTTTTGCCTGAGCCTAAGGGTGTAGAAAAGAAAGTATCTTCTGAAAACATGTTTCAGTGTACATAATATATTAAATTTTTAATTGTGTTTACTATTTAGTCACTTTTAGAAGAAGGAAAAACAAAACAGCCCAATGCTGTTTGTACTCCTTAGTGTAAAATATTGAGACATTGTTCAGTGACTTGGGACGCCAAGAGAAAAATAACAGGTGATGCACATCGTATCACTGGTGAAAAAATGTTAAATATCTGTTCTCCTTTAGTTTTACTTGTATGAAACACCATGAAGCCTGACAGGTGGTTTCCTGATTTACACCATCTATTGAGGAAGCAGAATTGGCCACAGTGATTATAATTTGAGGAGAGTTAGGTTATCTGGCAACCCAGGTGTAAGGTTTCCTTTAAAAATAAAATGCCTTGGGCTTTCAGACTGTGACACAAGACTTCATTTGATATCCAGCAGCCAACTGCTTATATTACTCATGGATTTATGGTCCATTTTCTGTGGAACTCATAAATACAGTCTCTGAAATGTGCTAACCATTTGAGGTTTTTATTTGAGTTAAAGGATAGGAGGATTTCTCAGAGGAGTCACCAGAAGATGAGTGAGCAGTGTTTTTTTGGTGGTTAATTTACCTTTTTAAAAAGAAAAAGTGAGCATTACTGAGCAGAAGTAGGCAGTGCTGGAATTTGAGATCCCCTCTGCACCTCCACTGAACAAGCCCAAGTGACACATTCATAGCCTGGTTCTCATACCATAATATCCTGAGCACAGACCCATGGAAGGGTGTCTTTCAGCAATTTTCCCCAGACCTACAATTTACTTACCTTGTCATATAATGGAATTGCAAAATGGTTGGAGTGGAAAAAGAAATTAAAGATCAACTACTTCCAACCCCCTGCCATGGACAGGGAAACCTTCCACTATCCCAGGTTGCTCCAAGCCTCATCCAACCTGGCCTTGGACACTTCCAGGGATGGGGCAGCCACAACTTTGTGCTAAAGCCTCACCACTCTCACAGCCAAGAATTCCTTCCTAAGCTCTAATCTCATCTTCTGCCTCTGGGTAGTAGCGGCTCCCCACCCACCTGCAGGGAGAGACAGGAGAGCAGCTTAAAAAAAAATTCAAAATGTCTCGTTTCAGTTTAATTCCATATATCCAAGCCCAACCTCCTTCTCAAGAACCTCATCCCAGGGAAGTCAAAGTCAAATCCATCTTTCTCATGCATACAGGACCATCTATAATTAAACGCAAGAAAACTTCCCAAGACGTAAAACTACAACAGCTTCCTGCTCTTTTTGATACATTTTCCTCTAAAAACGTCCGGGCTTTTAGGGAAGGAATCACGAGGGTATTTGGAGGGAAGATCAGAAATGTTTGCCTGTGGGGCAAATGTTTGCCTGTGTGTTTGGGCCCAGTTGGAGTCTCACTGCGTCAGTGTGATGGGTCTCACCTTGTGTGTCCCCATGGTCACCGTGGAGAAATGACACTCACAGCTCCCACTGGGTTGTATTTTAGGCAGCTCCAGGTGTCTGTACAAGCGAAGTGAGAGGCAGCTGGGGGCTCGGGACCTGGGAGCCATCGTGGTTGTGGAGGCTTTCCAGGGAGAGGCGAGCCGGCTCCAGCTGGAGGGTGTCCAATTCCACCACGTTGGCCAAATATTTCGTCATCACTGCAGTGCCCTGACTGTCACTGGCAACACACGGATGGCAGGTGAGTTGGCTGTACTGGAGGTGGGCTTGAATGATCTCAAATGTTCACCTTCTCCTGCCCAAAGCTGGGGCAGATGCTCTAAAAACCTGCTTAGCTCTGGGGTCCGTGGACAAACTGGATTGCTAAACGTGAGGAAACCTCACCTGTAGTCCAAGACCCAGTTATGGAGTTGTTTCAGCTGCTTCTTCCTAAAATAATATTTTGCTTTTATGCTACACCACTGTGTTGGTGTGCTGCTTCTAGTTCTGGAAATGAATGCACTAATACACTATGAGGGAGCCCAAAGGTGGCTCAGGGCTGTCTGCTGGTAGAGTCCAAAATTTAATTTTATCACCCAGAGGGTAAGGAATATATTCAGTTCTTTTGACTTTGTCACTGGTAAGTGCCAAATTCAGTGCTGTGGAAGTGTCAACAATGGCTCTGAAGAGTGGTGGTGACAGGAGCAAGTTAGGTGGATTCAAAGAATATTTTAAGAGTACTGGATGGGACTTTCCCCTCCAGCTAAGCTACACTTATGCCTCTCATAGAATCATTGAATGGTTTGGCTTGGAAGGGACCTTAAAGATCATCTAATTCCAATCCCCTTGCCATGGACAGGGGCACCTATTTCCTAAACCATCTTCAGCACTGAGTCAAGATCTAGGCTTCCTGGTAGCAGAAGGCAGCACTGGCCATGATCCAGATGGTGGGCAGGTCACTACGCCTGGCTAGAGAAGGGGTACAAGATACCTGTCGTGTCCTCACTGCCCTTCTGAAACGTTCTTAAAAGCCACTTCAATCATCCAACTACCTGAGCTTGTAACGTACTTCCCTCTTGGGACCTCAGGCTATCTGTCCCTTGGATCTCCTCCTCCTCCTTCCTCACAGTAGTGGGCCACCTCCCATTTCTGTGCTCAGGCCCTCTCCTTCCTCCTGTCCCTTCCTCAGCAACACCCACCTGTGAGTAAAGACCTGCCAGATGAGTAAGGGTGGGCAGTTGTAACCACACGGTCTCACGAGACCAAAAGATTAATTGCACAGAATTGAAGGATGAGGACCTAATATAAAACACTCCCAACCTTCCAGCTGCAGAGTGAATTTTTTGATCACAGGCCTCTTTTCTTTCCAGACTCTTACATTCATGGCTGTTGTGTTTTGGACTCCTTTGGCCAAGGACTCCGCCTGACTGGGATCTCGAACCTCTCTGTGGACAGCAATGTTTTCTATAACATTTCAGGCCATGGGCTTGTACTGGGTAAGCGAAGCAGCAAAATATCTACCCAACATGTGCTGATTCCCATTTACATGAAAATGGAAAAAAAGCAGATCCTTAACTGCACTCTGAGAACTTTAATCACATCTTCTGCATTTCCTGGTGCCAGTGAATTTGGAATAAAGCTCCCACAATTCTACAAACAACTGCTAGAAACTGCTTCCACTTGACCATATGCTCTGTCTCTTCAGGACAGTCTTCACTTTTTCAGCATCCCTTTTTTTTAAGTGAACAGGGAGAAGTAGATTTTTTTAGGGGATTGATTAATCCATCTTTGGAAGAGCATCATTATGCAATATTTAAGATCCCAGCTTAGTGAAGCATTTAAGAGCATACTTACCTTTAACTTCACTCATTTGACATCAAAGATAATGGAGTGAAAGCATATGTTAAAAGTTAAGCAGAGGATTTAGCACTTAAATAAATTGGAGCTTGGGGCAACAAAAATGTTAAACAACAAAATATTTCTCCTAACTAACCATCAGGAGACTGACTTCCAGCATCTTCTGCTGGGATCTCATGTCGCCTGAATACCTAAAGATAGAGCTCGATTTTCATTTTTCGTAAGAGATGAGAAAAAAAATGACCAATTTTAAGATAAACAGAGGAGGGGAAAAAAAGCCTTTAGTTCTTGTCCTGCAGTTCCACACACACAGCGAGTCCCTATGGTGGGTGCTGTGTATAAACATAATGAGAAGTCATAGATCACAGTTTAAGCAGAGGAGACTATAAACTGAGAGCGATTATACACATCTTGCAGATGAAGAGAGCTGGCTCAGAGAGGTGCCCAAGGTGATGGACAGAATCCTTGCAGCCATGGGGAAGCAGAGCAAGATCTCCAACCTGGTGGCGTCCCTTGGCTCACTCATGCTGGGACATGTGTTGGAGTTAAAGGACTCTGGGCTGAGCTGAAGTTTCAGCCTGAATACACCTTATCCCCAAGATGTCTTTGATGGTTTCACTGTCAGCAGCTCCAGGGGGTCTGATGGATGAATTTATGTATCATTTTGTTGCCTGTGAAGGAATATTTATTATAGCTGGCCCTTTACAGCTCCTGAACTGGAATACCTCAGTGATTTCATCTAAACCCCTTATTTTCAGGGGGGTTTCAAGACAGTCATAAAAAGTCGCTCTGGGCTTAAAATTATTGACACACCAGGTCTCAGCTTGAAAGCCAAAACCTTTTATGCCACCTCAAAAACCTGTACGGATGTCAAAAGGACTTTATGCTGTTCATGCTCTGGTAGTGAGATGGTTTGTGGTAAATACAGCCTGGAAAGGAAATATTTCCTAAATAGATCCTGTTCCAAAAAGTTGAGAAAGGCTCAAAAGACTGAGGGAAGGCTAAAAGTGATTAGTGTAATCCCCAAAACCAAAGGATGTAGATATTCCTGTGAAGTGGCTTATGTTAGGGGTAGTAATCATTGGGAAAGGGATCTGTATTTGGAACAGAACTTGAGCAGATACAGATGAAGGTAATAATTTATGTTTAATCATAAACCAAATAGATGTCATTTGCTCCCAGTGTGAGACAAATAGAGATGCTCCAGTTTATATTCTTATTCCAAAAGACCAGAGCAGGAGAACATATGCTGATCATAGAATCACAGAACCATTAAGGCTGGAAAAGACCTTTAACATCGAGTCCAAATATTATCCCAGCACTGCCAAGTCCACAACTAAATCTTTTCCCAAATGCCACATCCACACACTTTTTGAACACCTCCAGGAATGGTGACTCCACCACTTCCCTGGGCAGCCCATTCCAATGTTTGGACTATCCTTTCAATGAAGAAATTATTCCTAATATCCTATCGAAACCTCCCCTGGTGCAACTTGAGGCCATTTTCTCTTATCCTATTGGTGTGTTCTGTGATTCTGCCCTCACTTGGAACTGGACTTGTCCAAAGTCTGTCCAAGACTTGTCAAAGTCTTGTCTTGTCAAAGTCTTGTCTTGTCGAAGACTGTCCACTTTCTGCTGTTGCGTGGCCTGTTTCTTTAAGGTGTAGTTGAAAAACATATTTCTTTTGTTTTCTTTTTCCTACTTCAATACTGTTACTAGATCTGAGGCACCCCACGAGTCTGAGTTGTCTGATCAATTGGGTGATTGATTTTTCCCTGTTTCTTCTCCTACTCCATTGCTTAAGGGGGCAATGCCCCTCTTTGTGCAGAGTTGCACCAGGTGTTCTTAAGCATATTTAGATATTTTCTTACGTGTAAGCAGGGCAGTGAATGGAGACACAGGAGATAGAGCAGACTTTGAGTCCTAGTACTGCCAGGAGCATGCCTGTGCAGAAGTGAGCCCCTTTCCCTCTCTGAATCTCTCTTTTCCCAACTGTAAATCTGCTTTATAATATATATATATATATTATTTGTTTTCAGCATAAGCTTACAATAGGATAGATATGGCTGGTGATATATTCACATATAACACCCAGTATGGTAAATATATGTGAATATAACACCTGGACTTGTATATATTGAAATGCAGAATCACGACAAGAGGGAGTTTCATTTATGTTTCATTTATGTTAATTATTTTTCTTGGTTTTCCATTATTTTTCTTATTTACTTTTCTTATCTTTTTTTTCCCCTTCTTCTTCTTTTTTTCTTTTAAAGGTGAGGGACTGGAAGAGGGGAACAGAGTCAGTAACAACGTAGTGATTGGCCTTTCTGGAACTGATGGTTTATCCAATGTTGAGACACTGTCACCAGCAGGGATCTACATCAGGGCTCCTGCCAACCACATCAAGGTGAGAAGTTCAGGTACAAGGCAGAACACTTCCTTTCTAATCAAAGATATCAGAAAGATGCAGAGCTTCATTTACCTGGGAGATCATATACACAATATTTGCTTCTTGGATGAGCTGTCAGAACCTGTGCTTCTGGTATATTGAAACAAGTGCACATTACAAAATAAATTATGTTCTTGGGCAAATTTATTGCTAAAAATTGTGATGCATTTGCATGGAATAAAATATTACAGTGAGATCATTCACAATGATGTACTTTAAAAAGTTGTTTTATTTTCTAATACTCATGGATTCAGAAAACTTGGAAAAAAGTGTACACAGTTTCTTGAGAATTATTTCCTATTTCTGTCATTATATATATATAAAAATATCAATTTTAATGGACTGATGACAAACACACTAAAATGCAGCAATACCAAATGTATCTCCATCTGGATTTAAAATTACACTGTACATATATTTGCATTCGAGGGTGAGAATATGTTCCCTGTCCTATGAAAATGACATTGATTTTAAAAGAAATTAACCTTCTCTATTCAAAATAGTAATAAAACACTGAACTTTTAAAGAGCTTACAGAGTAACAGCCCTCACATCAAAAAGCTGAGCTCAGTAAAAATCTTTCTATTCACTAATTCTCTGATGCTTTCTCTTAGTTTATACTTTTTTTTGGTCTTGCATTTCAGAATAAAAAGTCACTTTTAAGTCTTCCATGGAAGAAAAAAAATCGATTTTCATCAACTTCAAACCGCTTTTCCTTCCCAACTATTTTAATCTTGGAATTTCATTGAAACTGACCTTTCTTACTACACTTTCAGTAGTGACAAATGAATATTTTAATTTTTAAAAAAATATCCTAACCTGTTCCATTGCTAACCCACAATAACCAAACCAGTTACTAACTGTATGTGAAGACCTAATCACCCCCTGGGCTTCTGCTCCACGGGGAAGGAGTTGCAACTAAATCTGAAGGTGAAAAAGAGACCCTCACATTTCCTATGTTATTATAAGGACAGTCGCAGTTATGAAGCCAGAGAGGACTTTTCTGCAATTCCCTCAAGGGCATATTTATCCTTTTTAAAACCATCAGATGTGGCTAAAAAATACAACAACTAGACAGGATCCTATGAATTTCACCTTCACTAAACACAGCTTTGTACTGTTGTGCACTGACTTACCCTGGAGCGCTGACTCTGTTGCCAGTGGCTCAGCTTTTGAAAAGGTTTGCTGCAATTACCTCTGTGGGGACGTGTGAACTGACTGTGGTGGGTTTTCAGCACATTTATTTAGCCCTCCCAGTTCTCATGTCTTCACAGAGACGCCCAAAGCCACGTCTGTGGCGTTGTACCCAAATATCAGGGGGTTCAGTCTGCTCCCCAGAGGTGTGGTGCTCAAGGTGGAGCAGCAGGTGGCCCTGGAAGGGTTGCTGATAACCCTCGTGGTGGGCAGTCTCTTGGAGTGGGATATTCGAGGTGTTGCAGCAGCAAAAGGAAAATATGAAGTTGCCCAGGTTAAAATTGTTATTAGCTGCACTTACCGTGTGACAGAAGCAAGGAGTGCTCAGGAAGACATGGAAGGACACAGATATGAAGAGAAAAAGTCACACTTCTACCAGGCAAAACAACTGTGGACTTTTTCTTAGTACTGTAATAATCACTAAATTCAAGTGATGGGGGTCCACATCAGCATCTTGATATCACAGAGTTTCAGTACCTTTTATCTGATCAAATGACTCAAGAACTGGATAGTGGTTTTTGTGTATTTACAATCTTAATTTAATGGGGAGATTTGAACAATGTCATGGGAAAGACTGATTTTCCTGCTGCTTGATTTCCAGGCCAGGACATGAAAAATTTCCTCCTTTAAATTTTAATTTTATGTGTTTGTAATTTCTTTTTTTTGTTTGTTTGTTTTGTTTTGTTTGTTTTCTTTATTTTCAGATTTCCCTCTTTCAATTACTGGTTTTAAACTTAGGGGCTGCAATCTTTAAGGCAAAGACTGCAGCTAAGATAACCAAGGAGTTCTAGGCCCACAGTGTTACATCTTCTGTGCATGATGGGTTTAGCTTTTCCACGGTGAGACCTGCAATGATATTTTCATAACTACTCAATTTACTTGGGAGCCTAAATTTGCATCGGTGGCTGAAGAGCTTAAATTTCCTTGAAAATCAGTGGTGTCCTAAACGGTGTGGAAATTGGGACAGAGCAGTCACTCAAACCTGAGCCTACAAAGACATTTGGAGACCCAAATCCCTCTGGTTTCCATTTGACTTAAGCTCTTAAGTGCATTGGTGAATCAGGCTGTTAGATAAAATTTTATACTTGGACAGTATGAGTGCAAAATGATTATTACAACCTTAGTATAATTTTTTTTTAAAATTCAATGTGTGAGCCCAGGTTATCACTTTTTAATGCCATTGACAATTTCATTAACAGGTTGTTTCTTTTCTTTTAAATGCTGTCAGCACAAAGAACTGAAGATGCCCCTCTGGGATATTGCCTCTTTTGTCACTGAAACTTCTGTCCTATGTCCCTAGTTTTGCTTCTGTGTGCAGGAAAAACAATTTAAAAAATAGGTTTATATTTTTTCTCTTGGCTCTCTTGGGCCCAGTGAGTCTTGGACTTTTTGTAGTAAATTCCAATAAATGTTTTCAATGCCCTGAAATCCCAGAGCCAGCATGGAGAGCTCATGCATAACAAGGTACACACTAGGCTTGAGAAATTCAACAAGATCCTCCCTTTCCTTTCTTGCCATGGTGTGGAGGACTGGGAAACAGCTCCAGTGAATGAACAGGGTGGAGCTCAGCCCGTGTCTCCGTGTCAGGGGAGTGACTGATGGTCACTGTTGGTAAAAGTGACTGATTTCACTGCTGGTAAATGCATTTGTTCCCCAGTGTCACCCCACCCAGCCATTCTCCACAATGCCATTGTTTTTCACCATTTCATCCCTACTGAGACCTTTTCCAAAGCGTTTCCTGCAAGGTGGGTGCACACTGGGCCCCCTGCCAGGTTCTGAAACAGGGGTCGCAGTGCTGGGCCCGCTGTCCAGAGCTTCAACATAATCCTTAAAGTCAACAGTTTGAGTCCCAGCTACCTAAAAGAAATTCATGAAATATTTACACCCAGCCGAGTTGTGAGGTTAAGAGACACTTAAAACGTCAGCCACTCGATTTTACTGACTTGCAGTGCACAGCTCCAGGTGTTTGCCGTGCTCGGGGAGGTAATTTCTCTCTGGAATTTTGGCTGCACGGACATTCGTAATATACTGACTTCCACAAAGAATTGATTTCCACACAAAATTCCCTGCTTGCCTAAAACCCCTGCCCTCCAGCCACTGGCTGGCTGAATAAATATGCAGGTTTTTTTTCTTTTTTTTTATTTTTTTTTTTTCTCCTTATGAATCATCTGTAGAACGCACGATTGGAGTCGCAAGTAAAAGATCCTGGGGATGATGTGACCGGACTGCAGAAGCGTTTTGTTAAAGGAAAAGAGTCTGTGGCTGCACTTTCAGAAAGAGCAGCAGTTGTACCTGGGGATAGGGAAAGCAGAGCTTTGGGTCTCAGTACTTTTTAGCTCCTTGACAGATGTCAGGGATCAGGACTGCAGGGAGCACACTTGGATGGCTCAGAAGAAAGTAATTGGTATATAGAGGGTTTCACCCCAAGGTCACCAGGCACAGCTTTGATTTGGCCCATCAGGGACTAAAAAGTCATTAGTGTTTTAAGAGTGTCCAGTGACCTATGAATGGTAGTGGTGGGTGTTAGTCCCGATCTTAGAGAACAAGCTCCTCTTACAGCTGCAAGAAAGGTCATCTTAGTGAGCTAGACACCTCCAGAGAGCAATTAATCTTGTCTAAGGATAGGAGAGTTGCCTTCTGGACATGCCTGTGCCTTATTTTTTTCCAAGAAAGGGAGCCTAAGTTTACCAGGGTACACTTCAGCATCAAATTTTTACACATCCAAGGCAGGTGAGGGGGATTCTGCACAGGTGCACACATGAAAACACTGTTGTATGGACACCATCCAAAACCAGCTGGATTTGGCTGCTCTCCAAATTAAGCAAGAGAGAGCAGATTTTCTTGCCCTAGAGTAGAAAAGCTCAGAACCCACTGAATATAACCCTCAAACCCCACTTGCTACACAGTCTGTAAGTACCAAATTCCTATTTTAAGGCCAGTTGGACCTTATGTTCACTCATTTTTACCCCTTGCAATCATACAAAAATGTAACTCTTTAATTTCTTAATTAAGAGATATTAAATAACAACAACTTAGAGCACATCTCTCCCTGGTTATTCACGTACCCTGTTAAAAATAATTCAAACCACATAATTTACCATAAGTGTAAGTAAGTTTAATTGTTCAGCCACTGACATATCCTGATGTTCTCTGCCTTCTCTTGGCTTTTAGTAGCATCCATTTTTCAATGCAAATATTTCCTTATCCTCTGTTTGCTTTCTGAGAAGGAGAAAGGCACAGATTAAGAAGGAAATCAATAAACTGAATAGTTTGTGATTTACCTTTCCTTCATGCCATTTTCATCTTATGCAGAAAGGAATTTTTAGGTGTAAGTTTTCCACCCATTTTTTTCTTACCTATTTCTTCCAGAATTGTGACAACACATTTTTTTTCTGTCATTTGTCTCTGTTGCTTGGCCAATCCTTGCTGTCTGGCTTAAAACAGCTTTTTTAAGACTCCCTCAAGGTCAGAGTGAAAACAGGACAAGGCTAGGGACACAGAAGGTTTCTTTTACCAGCCACACTTACCAGAATTTGAATGGACTTCAGCTGGGATTTTAATTTGACTTTTTTTTGGGCTGACTTTTATTTCCAGAAATCTGTGGTAATATATTTTCACAGTTACATATTCTTCTCTACAGGGTAACACAGTGTGTGGTGCTGGGTATGGCTATTTCTTTCATCTGTCCCCTGAGGGACCATCCAAAGTGCCTCTCCTGTCCTTCAGTGAGAACACAGCTCACTCCTGCACGAGGTAATTGGGGATTTTTGGTGAAAGAGCTTTTCCTTCAGTGGTGGTTGTGACAACTAAAACTGCAGTGGTGGGCAGAAAATGCCTTGTCCCCTCTTTTCAGAACTTCCCCCCTCCCCCCCGTTTTACCCCCTTTCAGGTCCTCCTCCCTTGTCAGCAGAGTTATCTGCAACAGGGCAGAATCGGTGTTTGTCAGGGATGTGTGTGGGGCTGTTTTTCTGGTTTTCTTTTAGGTTAAATAGAATCATAGAATCATAGAATGGTTTGGGTTGGAAGGGACCTTAAAGAGCATCTCATTCCAACCCCTGCCATGGGCAGAGACACCTTCCACTAGATCAGGTTGCTCCACGCCCCGTCCAACCTGGCCTTGGATACTTTCAAGGTTGGGGCAGCCACTTCTTTCCTTTATTTCCTGGTCCTTTCTTCATCATTCACAAGCCCTGTTTATTAACTTGCAGGAATTCCCTGTGCTATTAACAAGCTCCTCCACTTTACCCCCTTGTTTAACTAATCCCAGCTTAGCCTAAGGTGCCACATTTAACACAGTTCCTCATCAACAGCAAAGCACTGAAGCATCAGAGATCGTGTTGAACTGAAAGCTCACTTTCTCTGTCTACCAGGAATTATCAGAAGAGGGTGACTGCAGGAGATCAGATATACAATTTCTTTCTTACACACTTAGATTAGATAACAGGAAGAATTTCTTCCCTGTGAGGGTGGTGAGGCCCTGGCACAGGTTGCCCAGAGAAGCTGTGGCTGCCCCATCCCTGGAAGTATCCAAGGCCAGGTTGGACAGGGCTTGGAGCAACCTGGGATAGTGGGAGGTGTCCCTGACCACAGCATGGGGTTGGAACCAGGTGCTCTTAAAAGGTCCCTTCCAACCCAAACCACATTGTGATTCCATGATTCTATGACATTTCATGTAAAATTGTTCCTGTAGTATCCAGGAATGGCTATTCACGAGAGCTTTTGCCTGTGCTTCCCCGAAACAGAAACTATGCTGAAAAATATTATACTGAAAATCAGTGGATGGAGTGACCTGGATTTTGAGGAAATCTGGATAATAATCTGGATTTAAAATCTCTGAGAAGGTCAAAACCAAGGGTAGCGTTCGGGAACATGTGCATTTGGGCTGTACTTCAAGTTGACTGAATCCAAGATAAATAAAAGCCTTATCTGTCTAAATTCAGGTCAGGCTTATCTGAAGGTGATGCTGAAAACTCATGAGCATGATGGGGATGTCACCTTTCAGTGACACTGCACACTTGTTAGCCCTGCTGTGGCTCATTCTGAAAACGCATAAAAAGAAATTTTAAATATCCTCACTGGCATGATTAGATGCCTAAAATAAGTAGTGTTATCTACCAGTCTCTGATTTGGGATTAAATGATAAAATCTCATGACCGAACTGTTACAGACTTTAGATTTTAGATATCGAAAAGATGAATAGAAAAATCTGCTCACCACTGTAAAGAATCAGTCTCCATTGCTTTCTTTCCTAAACAGGTATGGATTGCTGGTGTACCCAGAATATCTGCCAGACAGCTCAAACAGACCTGTTCAGTTCAACAACTTCACAGCTTGGAGCTGCCAAGGGGGAACACAGGTATGTTTGTCCTGACTGTCCTCTGTGATGCTCAGGATCTTTCCAGGTGTCTCAACTCTTCACTGACTTCATCTTTGAGGCTGCAAATAAGTCACAGTCACAGTAAAGCTCTTCTAACTGTATGTTCATGTTTCTCATCTGGAGGCTCCTACTTTAATGAAAAAGCCAGAAGCATGATTTGTGTGAATTCTTTTTACAAATTCAATGCAGAATCAGTGCTCCTTTCACTGGCAGCTGGTGCTCTCTGTACCCATCTAACACCTGACTGCCACTATAATCATGGAACCAAAGAGTGGGTTGGGTTGGAAGGGACTTTACAGGCCATCTAGTTCCAATCCCCCTGCCTTGGGCAGGGACACCTTTCACTAGATCATGTTGCCAAAAACACAAATCCTGAGTGGATCTAAGCTATTCTTGAAGATTGCAGGTGGTAAAAGATCCTGAGGGATCTTACCTTCATAGGGCTGATGGTTTCCAGGGGATTTTTTTTTCATTCTCATTAAAAATTTGCACTTTTCATTCATTTGAATTTGTCTAAATTCATTCTCCAGCTATTATAGCTCATTTTTAATGAATCTGGTTACAAAAAACACACATCACCCCTTATTATCTGATGCTTTCTTTCCATGTATACAATTTAGAGCTTGTGATCCTCTTAACCCCCTGTCTGATGACCTGAACAGTTTATATGTGTTTCTCTGTAAGTCATGTTTTCTAGCTTCACCCATCTCTATGACTCTGAAGGTGTACAATCTTTCAGTGTGATTTTTTTTTAATTGATGCACACTCTTCCTGGAAAAGCTTATTTATATGAAAAAAAAAAATAAAAGGTTGTTTTGCGTGAGTTTTTTGTTTGTTTATTTTCTCTGCCCACCTTGTAATTTATTTGTATGAGACTGACTGAGAATACACGAATAACTAAGTTTATTCTACTTCTTTCCATTGGCTCCCTCCAGAAACAATTTTCTTTCTTTTAGTTGTCCCATCTCTGGGAATGTTTAAGGTCGGGTTGGATGGGGTTTGAAGCAACCTGGTCTGGTGGAAGATGTCCCTACCCATGGCAGGGGGTTGGAACCAGAGGATCTATCATGTCCCTTCCAACACAAACCATTCGATGATTTGATGATGATGATGATTCCTTTATTTTTCTTTTATATAGATTTTCAGCAGCAGGAATCTTGAACTCCAGCATTTCTGGATTTCTTCTTGCAAAGACTTTGGCATTGACATCGTGGAGAGCCTGGGAAACACCTCTGTGTCTGACAGTGTTTTAATTGGACATGCTGGGCAAAAGGTGAGCACTGCAGGAATGGTTTCAATGTTGCCTTCAAATGGGAATCTGGAGAAATAATAGAAGGCTGGAGAACAGCCCATGGTAAATCTTGGATTTTAAATAGATTGTATGAAAAATAGGACAAGACACAGGACAAGAGGAAATGGTCACAGATTGTGGCAGGGAAGGCTTAAATTGGATATTAGGGAAAATTTTTTCACTGAAAAGGTTATCAAACATTGCAACAGGCTGCCCAGGGAAGTGGTGGAGTCCCCATCCCTGGAGGGATTTAAAAGATGTGCAGATGTGGCACTTGGGGACATGGGTTAGTGGTGGCCTTGGCAATGCTTTGGGAATGGTTGGACTTTAAGACCTTGTTTTTTTTTTTCCAACTTAAAAAATTCGATGGTTGTATGATTTTTTTCCCCAAACATACTTTTATTTCATTATGGAAGTTTTGAAGATTTATTTAAAACAAATTTTAAACAAAGACTCTAGTTTTTCTATTTTGATTTAGAGCTGTTTAAAAGTTCCACATTGTAAGGCATAATTCTTCGTATTCTGTATAAAACAACATTCAAAAGTAAAAACAAAATCACAAAACCAAAAAGCTGAAGGATTTTAGCAAGACAGTTAATTTTTCCCCTACTTGTCTTATATTCCAAGATTGGCATGCTCTCAGAAAAACCTTGGAACTTCACAGAACATGATTTTTTGAGAAAAATCACAATTTTTGTTTAATCAAGGGTTTTTAACATAAATTCCTGTATATTCCCATATATTCCTATATTCTTTTTGTTGAATAAACAGACAGCATTTAACCACACACATGTGGGTTTAGTTTGGTGATTTGAGAATGATGAGGGGGAACACCAGATTTGGTTTCTATCCCAGTCAACACTTTGGTTTCCTCTGCTGTCTTGCAGCATCATTGGCCCACCTGGACCACAGAGTGTTATTTGGTTTTTTTTTTTTGCTTGAGAGTGAAAAATACCATCAAAGTGTAATTTTATTTATGCAGTAAATATGATTTTCTTTAGGCAGCTGGACAAAGTCCTTTGGGTGCTACCAGGTTGTTAACAGAATAATAACATGGATAACAATGGAATTTTAGTTACAACTGGCCACAGCTGCTTGTTCATGGTTTTGAGGTCTTTTTATTTTTCCCTGCTCAGTTTTCTATTGCTGTTTATTAAATTAATTTTCCTTCTGACTGGCAGAGAAAGGGCTTTAAATGAGTTTTCTTCAGAAGCCCACAGAAAGAAAACTCTGTTGTAAGTATGTAGTTCAGATAAAATCCTGGCTTCACCTGTCCAACCTTGCAGGGTCCCAAGGAATTTGTCTCAGGCACCAAAGGGTGGATGTCTTTGTTTTTGCTTTGCAGGATCCATGGAAGGACTCCAATGTTGTACTTGTTAAGAGATTTAGAGGCGCTCAGCTGTGCCTTGTTTCTTGCAGTACCCCAGGGGGGTGATTATCTTTGATTATCTCATGATAAGAGCCTCCTTGTCATAATTTACATCTTAATGTATGTAATTCTCCCTTTAATAATGATGTCTCTTTAATATCAATTAAAACTTTATGACATTAATTTAATGGGAACCTTGGATATTCCTCTCTGCTACAGCCCTTCCACGTTTTGAGAGCAGTGCTTCAAAACAAGATTGTTTTCTGGAGACATCAGGGCATTTAAAAATTGGAGCTTTGACCAATTGAAACATTAGTGGCAGGGCTAAATCTAGGACCAAGGGAAAGATTTTTGTTGACTTCTGTCGTGGTTTTGCCTAGACATTCAGCAAGACTCTTCCATGTTTTCATAAAGCAATTCATTGTCTTTGAGGAGCCATTTGAGAGGCATTTCTTCCTGGGAAAAGCAGGAGTTCTGAGACAGGTGACACACACTAGGGAGGGATTATTGTCTCAAACCATTCTATTTGCTATTTATTTAAATAAAAGGAATTAGGAAAAAATATAGAAAGGTGGGTGGGATGGAAGGACCAGAATTGTAAACAAAAAAAAAAAGTAAGAGACTTTCTAAGTGATTTGTTACCAGAAGTCAGGGATTTCTGTTTAGCACTGATTTGGAAGAAGATGGCCCAAAGAACAGGACCATCATTCCAGATGTTTTGGCCTCAGAATAAAAAAGCTGATGGAGCTACTATATCTTAAAGAGACTAAAGAGAGCACCATCTCTTTGAAGTAATAATCTATTTATAAAATCCCTTTTCATTCTACATTTTCAATTAAAGAGGATGTTTTCACATAGGGTGGATTTCTTGATTGATTCTCTACTATGGCTTTTGAGAGTTATTCTACAAGTCTTTTGCTACAAACACCCTAAAATCTAGTTTGTCCATTGTGTTTCTCATCACCTGTGGGTTTTGCTCTTCCTTTTCAGTTCTTGTAGCTCTGATGGATCCTGAAGTCAAGTAGAGCTTTGCAGAGAGCCTGGCTTAAATGCTTCCCCCATTCCAAATTACAAAAGGCTTTTGCAGATTTTTCTTAGAACAGAAATTAGAATGATAAAGTAGGGAAAATTCCTAGTTGCTGGACAAGAAAAGGTGAAGTAAAAGGGGCTGTAAAAATCTGGTCCTTGTGTCTTTTAGATGAATTCTTTCTTCCCAGGGAATGTGCAATTGGCTTTGTCTTCAAATGTCCAACCCAGAAAAAAGGCAACAAGCTGCCCTGAATGTGATGTTATCACATGCTGTAAATGGTGAATTAAACAGGTGTTAACTTCCAGAATTTACAAAACAACAGCTTATATCTGTCCTTCAAACCCCTCAGCTGTGGCAATCACATTCTTGCATCCCAGCTGGTGCATCCCAGAAACCCCATCCCTGGAAGTGTTCAAGGCCAAGTTGGTTGGGGCTTGGAGCAATCAGGTCCACTGGAAGGTGCCCCTGCCAGCGGGCAGGGGATTGGAATGAGATGGTCTTTAAGGTCCCTTCTGACCCAAAGAATTCTAATATTCTGTGATTCACGCGGTGATGTTTCCCAGCTCTTTTCATTCCCTCATTTCAGGAGAGGACCTGTATGTCTGCAGGACTGAAAACTCCCAAGAGATACCAGCTCTTCATCTCCAACACAGCTTTCAGGAACTTTGATGAGAACACCTGCACAGCAATCAGGACTTGCTCTGGCTGCTGCCAAGGGCAGGGTGAGTTTGATTTCGATTTATTTAGCAGGATTTCCACAGTCCCTGAATTCCTCCCATTACAGATTCATATATCTGGAAGTTCAGACAACCGTTGATAACTGCTCTGCTCTCCAGGAGGCTGAGGTTTCAGGTTCTCCCCCATCTCCCTTCTTCATGCAGTTGAAGCCACATATTGCATATATCTTAAGACAAGTGCAGCTTTACTTCTGCCCTGGTTTAATTTTCTGAGTGAAAAGTGTTTTTATACACTGCCTTTTTCTGCACCTTCATTTTGAGAGGTAAAATTTCAAGAGTGATGATTTCTTTAACAGCTATGACCAACCTCACAGAATTTTACCAAGTTCCTACCTCAGGCCAGCCTAAACCTTAGGTAAATTTGCCTGAGATAACATGTAAACTAAGCATCCTTGAGAGCTTTGAAGAGGTACTCAAAGGCTCTTTGAAGAATATTTCAACTGCAATTACCTCTTAAATATATTTATATATAAATGAATACTGCCCTACAATAACATAGCAGAGAAAAAGTCTTCAGGAGGTGAGATCAAAGGAGGAATAGTAAAATCTGGCTTAGAGAGGTTGCAATTGAGAATAGAACAGTTAGATAGTAACCCATGTGGTGTATGAACACTCATACCTAAGATGACTTGTTATGGTCCATGGGGCAACAATTTTCTGACGTTTATTTATATATGAATGTGTTCAAAAACTTCCTGTGCTTTAACCCACATAAATATTCATCCTTTTTGCAGCTACCTGTGTTTCAGTAGTGAAAGAATCCTCCAGACTCACTTTTCAGCCAAGGTTTTATTCTGCCAAGTGCTGTGCCTGTGCACAGGAGTCAAGTATATTTACACATCCCTAAAGAGTCCTCACCTCTAAAAGAATTACCTTCAGGAAAAGGCAGGAGTGATCTATCAAAATCACTGTTTTGGGATCTGTAACTTTTGGCAGTGGGGCCTGTTTGGAGGAGGTGCAGGTAGGACCAGGAGCAGCACTTGGGTCAGGCAAGTCTGTAAGCACAAGTTACAGGGCACCAGGCAGGTTGGGCCTGACCATGGCAAAGCAATAGCCATTCCTGCAACCACCTCTATTTATTTTCCTGAATCTCCTCATCTCATTGACTCATCAGACATTTTTCCAAAGCAAAGGTGGAATGAAGTTTGTCTCTTTCCCTCCAGAGATGTCTTCAGGGCCATTACTTGAAGTGACCATTCTCTTTTCCTGAAATGCTGCTTGTTGCCCTCAGGTGGGTTCGCAGTGAGAGCTGAACGTCTGACCTTCATCAGCTCACCTTTCCAAGTGTCCTTCCCCTTCCCTCACTCTGCCATCCTTGAGGATCTCGATGGCTCCATCACAGGGCAGAAAGGAAGTCACCTCCTGCCTTCCACAGATATCCTTGGGGCATCTTGCACAGACAGTGCCAACTTCAGTCAAGCTTCTGATGGTAGTGTCTGTGGCAGTGACCTTGTTTTCCACCGTATGGCCCTCCATTTGTAAGTAACTATTCCAATTCCAAAAAGCTGGCATGAGTGCTGCTTGCTATGTTTTATACTGAGATTGCTGCAGGGTCTGAACTTAGTCCCAGGACTCCTGCCTCTCTGCTGGATCCTAAACTGGGTCTAAAACCTGAGCAGTGACATCCATTAGTCTGCGTTTTTGTCCAAAAAGTTTTGATTAGACTTTAGGTCTAATTAAGTGTTGCCTTTTATGCTTACTCTGAAAGATTTCCTCAAATGGTCCCAAAGAGTGAGAGGTCATAGAATCATAGAATGGTTTGGGATGGAAGGGACCTTAAAGATCATCTAATTCCAACCCCCTTCATGTCTTAACCAGAAAATCTTTGCCATCTGATTTCACTGCTATGTTATTTTTATAAACTGTCAGACTCATGTATAATATTTTCCAGTAAAAATGGATTTATCATTTTACAGTTTCATGGATGCAGCTGTCAGGCAATAAACACCTATGCTGCATAGAAGATATAAAAAAAATTTGTGATGTATTTCATTGAAAGAAAACCTTCCAATGAATTTGTTTCTTCCACTCTCTTGCAGCCATGCCTTTCTTACCCACTTCATCAGGACTTTCTGATCATTCATTTTGCTGTTCTTTGCTTGCTGCAAGTTAATGAACTTAATGATCTGAATTGACTAAATTTAAGATTGACTCAGACTCACAACCAAAGCAGTGTGTTTCAGTCTATAGAGTTAGGGTTTCCCACCAACATGATGGGATCAGACAGTGGTATAAGGGAGATTTGAAACTCAAGAATAAACTTTTGTTATCGTGAATGGCAGAACTATTTTAACAACTAGGTAATTGCTTTTCCAGACTTAAGATGCCAGTTTTCGCTTGATTTCAAGAGGCTGGAATAGACACTATCAATGTTTGTAAATGGAAACCATAGAATCACATGTTTGGGTTGGAAGGGACTTTAAAAATCATCCATTTCCAATCCACCTTCCACTAGACCAGGTTGCTTAGTGCTCCAACCAGCATGGCCTTGAATACCTCCAGGGAAGTGATGAATGAGAACCCATTTGCTTGATGTCTTAATCATGATAGAGGAACACAAAGAATAAATGAACAAATTACTTTTTGGGTGAAAGGAGCTGCAGTAAATCTACAACGTAACTCTCAGAGCTTATTCAGCAGTGAAAAATTATTGGAAAGGTAGGTAAAGTGAGCCAGAAACTTAATACAAGTGAATTCAAATCAGGTTGAAGACATAAAAACTTAGATATTGGCCTAAAGAACATATGTGGTCACCTCATAGACACTGATGTGTCTCATCACAGCTAATGGAAACCTGGGTCCTTGATTTGTTTGCCCATGGAGAGATGTCCAGTGCCATTTAAAATGCCTTGTGCTATCTCCTATTACTTGTCATTTCATGGCAGAAGGGCAGGGATCTCCTGGAGATGCTGTGTCAGACCTGACATCTCACACCAAAGTATTTGACTGCTTGGGGAATTTGGAGCTGTTTGTTGTCTTCCCAGGCTGGACTTGCTCCAGCCTTGGAGCAGCTGGCAGCTACTCAGGGAGGACACTTGCAAATTCTTGACATAAGAAAAAGGATGAAAAAGACTTTCAGTGATCCAAACACCACTCCTCCTTTCCTTCCCATGCTCATCTTCCCTTTCCAGTTCCCTGCTCAGCTTTTCACTTTCTTTTTGAAGTTCAAGTCTGAACCATTATCCATTTTTTTTTTTTTTTGCTGTTTCAAGTTAGTAGTACACAGGCAGAAATCCTGAAGTGCTCTGTCAGAGGGCTGTTAATTATTCATGTCTGCCTCATAATTCATATTTTAAAAGAAGGAGGGAAAAACCCCCTTCCCAGAGAGGGAAAAAAAAAAAAAAATCACTTGTTCGATTGAAAGGGAAAACTGTAAGACTTTCAGCTACCTGCAGAATTTGCATGTGATTACTGTTTCTCATAATGAAAATAAAACTCTGCAACAAATTAAGAGCTGTGAGTCATTCTAGTTTAACAAAAAAGATACTGGGTAGAAGGCAAAATAAAACTGTACTGGATGTTTTTTCTGGATCTGTTAACCAAGAGGTCTTAGGGAAATCAATTCCCTTTCAAGTCTGTGTTTACTCTGATGAAATGGACTACAGATCTTTGGGTCGATGCTGAGTGGGTAGATGGAGTTTCTCACAACATTGCCTGTAGAATGGTTTGAGTGCTTTAGGATACTGCAGCAACATAAAAATTTATGATAGTTCATGTATTCAGTGCACCTGGTTTCTCTGGCCTCTAAAGGTGGGGAAGGAGTGAGTACAAGCAGGAGTCTATCTGCACCATTGGTGTTAACTCTGGAAGAGTTAACCTGACCTAAATTTTGCCTTTCTAGTAAATTGCATAAGAGTTTCCCTGGAAAGTGTTCAAGGCCAGGTTGATTGGGGGCTCTGAGCAACCTGGTCTAGTGGAAGGTGACCCTGCCCAAGGCAGTGAGGTGGAATGAAATGAACTTTCAGGCCCCTTCCAGCCTAAACCATTCCATGATTAATCATACTGATAACTTCCCAATCAAGGTTTTATTTGAAGCAAGTACCCTTTATTTCCCTTCTTTATTATTCATCTGCATAAGCTGGGAGTCAACTTACATCAGAGATACTTGGCAGTGTGAGTAGCAGAAGCCAGCTGTTAGTCTGTCCTCCTGAGGACTCTGTGCTTAACAGAGTAACCCAAGAGACCATGAGCAGCATCCTCTCTGTGCTGCTTCCAGATCCTCTCTGCTGAGTAGCTCCCAGCAGCCAAATCACCGTCATATTAAGTTGAAAGACTGTCAGCAGGCAGCCAAATAAGTGTGGTGAGTCATGGGGGCTTTGTTCAGTGCTCCAAAATGGACCTGGTAAAGGACCAGGATGGGAATAAAAATGAGCTGGAGGGGATGAAGAGTGAAAGTCAATTAATAAAATATCCACAGAACAACCAGAGAATGAGAGGGTGGGAGAAGAAGGAGAATCAGTGAATTTTATCCAGATGTGTTTGAAGAGTGTTTGCAATAAAAAGGGAATATTTTAGGATTAATACAGCAAAACATGACTAGGAGCAATTGGCAGAGGTTGAGCAGAGAGAATAAAGACAGGTGGGTGACAGGAAAAAAATTCCTACCAGTACAGTCTCTTGGATTCATCTCATCTCAGTAAAAGGATAAAAGTACTGTTGCTTGGCTTTCTTTATTTTCTGATAAGAAAAGAATTAAAAACCACTCTGGAAGAAATCCCTCTGTTGTGCTCTGTAGTCCCTGGAATATGTGACCTGTAAAATCTGCACTTAGCTGGTTGTGCTTACCACTCATTGTAAACCCTGTAGTCAGTAAAAGTGGGGTGCACCGGGGGTGAAAAACAGCTTACAAGCCGCTGAGCCCAAGACTTGAGCACGGAACCTATGTTTGCTGATCATCTGGTCTAAGGGACAGAACAAGAGCACCCTCATTTTGGTAGGAAGTTACTCTGTAAAAGGAAAATGTCCCAGGCAATAGCAGTAAAACAATCTCATCTCCTGTGCTCTCTCTTGGTCCAGAGTGATGCAGTTCTCTGTGCTACTCAAAAAAAACCAAGAGAAGCTTGAGATGGTGTGTTTTTTTTTCTTCCTCTGAGTTTCAGGGATGGACTCCAGCTCCAAAAACCCTAAAGGCTGAAGAAAGCAGTGGGTTTTGAGAGGGTAACCCCAGCATGACAACCTCTATTGCAGCAACCTCAGCATCATTCCCTGACCCTTAGGGCAATGGGCAAAGCTTGTCCATGGCCATGTTTTTAACTTCCTCAGCCTCCAAAACATAGTGAATGTTGCATCAGGATTGGCTTTTAGGAAAGTTTCCCTGCCTGGGATTGGTGCAAGTTAAAAGCTTCTCTGAGACCATTCTAATTATCTAAGTTTACAATGCAATGAACTCTTTATCTTTGTGCTCTTTAATTTAACAAACTGCGCATAGTGTATTAACACTTTTCCCCCCAGAATATATGTTTGGGGAAAATAAAAGGGTTTGTCAGAGAAAAACACTAGAAGTCCATATTTTAAGAAAGAACACTTTTATCTTGAACCTTTTGTGGCTCTGTCCTGAACAGCCTCACCCATCAACTTGCAGGGAAATGTGAATCCATCTCCAAGCTTGCGCTGCTGTAACAAAACCCTTCTTTGCAAAGTCCAGTTGAAAGTTAAACTAATGTGTCACGTAAGCACCCTTTAAAGAGGGGTTTTATGTCTTTTAAAAACATAATTGGAGCTTATAAAAGTCTTTATAAATTTATATGTGGGAAAGTTATTGAGTAGTCTGAAGCACAGCTTATGCTATGGCACAGCACAGCATGGCTGCAGGCAAGATACGGCTGCTCCAAATGCCACCGCCACCCATATTATCATGAAACTATGAATCTCTATTAATATTAAAACAAATTTTCATTAAAAAATTGTCATAACATGATTAAGTGACTTTCAAAGTTTCTTCACATTATGCATAATTTTTACAAGAGGAGAGCATTAGAATAATCTGCAGCCAGGCAGCACCTTGCGGCAAAGGGGACTCCAAACACTCGGCACACCAGGAGGAAGTTTTCCTCTTGGTCCCTTGTCATTTGCTTTCCATTTCTTGCTGTGGAAACCTGAGACTTTCTCAGCACCAGTCTTGTAATTCAAGTTTTTTATTGCTCCCCCCTTCTCTAGGCTGCTGTGAAGGAAAAGATTAACTTTCTGCTTTACAGCCTAAATTCTTACTGGTCTAACGGCCTCTCCTGTCGTGTGTGCGTTGAGTTGATGCAAACCAGCCACTGCTGATGGGTTGGTGAGCAAGGAATGGTGTACCCCCTACCTCTGTGGCTTTGGGTCTTGAAGAGACTTCAAATGGCTACTGCAGGTTTGCTTTTCCTTTGGTATTTACTTGCTGTGGCGCCTTCAGATGAATATCCATCCACCTGCTGTGAAATACCCTGAAAACCACCCTTCTTCTCTCAATATGCACATGCTCATTTGTTCTCTATTCTTATTTTATTTCAAAATCAGGCCATGGTGGTTACTCAAAGATCTGGTTATTTCCAAAAAGACCCATGCATGAAAAAACATCACTGCTGGTAAAAGTTCATAATGCAAGGCAGATTTGAATCATGAGCTTGGTATCTCAGCAAAGATACACACACTTACTCAAAACAGCTGCAAATTCTTAGCTCTTGGCAATTAAAATAAACTGAACTGGTTTGGGGCCCAACATTAAACCTGTAAAGTGTTTGGTATGGTCATAATTTGGAATTAGCCTCCCTTTGGCCAGCAATAAATCTGGACTGTTGATATAAACATTTGGTGTCCCATTTGAAGTTCAATGCTGTATTGTTTTCCTGTTTTTGAAGAGGGATAAACATAATGGATTATTACACAAGCAGAAAGCATTTAGAGCTAAACACGGAGCCTGCCTTCATACACACAGATATGGACCCTTAGGATAAATAAGTTAATGGTAAACACAAACAGGAGAGTTAATATTTGTTCTACTCCATGTCATTGATTGGTTTAACAAATCCTTTGTGGCTCATCTCTGTCGAGCAGTTCTGCACAATGCACTTGAGCTAAATTACATAACAGTTTATACAGTCACAACTGGTAAATTGTGGCTCAGACTGTAAAGCCCTATCCAGTAATCTTGCCATATTTCTAAAGCAAATTGCTCCTTAATTGAAACCTGCTTCGATATAAAAATACAGCCTTTTCAGTGAGTCATCCTTTTTTTTTTTCCCCTTACAGTTTGTAAAGGCTTCCAGCAGTTTAAAGCGAGGGTTAATTTTGCATTAAGACCATTGCCTCCTAGTTTCTTTCAAATAAAGCCAGGGGAAGTTCAGAGGAAGGCTCTTTCCTCTGATAATGAAGCTCTCCATGTTAATGATGCATGCAGGCTCCCTCGGATCCTCTGAATTAGAAATACTCGTGTGCCAGCGCTACTCTGCTTCATTAGCATTAAAGAGAGGTAGATTGGTGGCTATTTAGGGCGCAGGGAAATCGCTGGCTATTTAGGGCAAATGGAAATGGTGCTAACTGTGGCTGGTAATTCCATTAGTAGGGTATTTCCATTTTGGTGTCTGTTTGGCATGCAGGTGACAAAACAAGCACCCTGACATCTTTTCCAGGGGAGTGGTTTTCCGGGGGTAAAGTTTTCCATGTTCCCCAAGTTTTTGTTTTGGTGTTCTGAGCAGTCTCTCAGGGGTAGGGTAAGGGTTTTTAGGTGGCAACACCTCGAGCAAGGTATGCAAAAGACAAGGACCCAGCATTCCGGGGCAAGAAAACCCTAGAGATTTCAGGCCATAAAATATCTCCCGCTGCCTTTCCTTCCTGAGTCAGGAACAAACTTCCAGGTGAAGGTCAGGGAAGCCAGACTATCAGGGTATGATACCATGTAAAATTTTCTTACTCAGAAAGGCTTTCTGGCATAAAAAAATGGCATTTTCAAATTAAAAGTTCTCTCTGTCTCTATCCTAAAGAGTGAAAAAAATTAAGTTGGGAGTGTCTGAAGCAGTCAAAAGTGTGTTCTAGCTTTGGAATCTAAGGAGAGAAGACAAGATCCGGAGGATTCCCTGTCCTGTCTCTGCCTGACTGAACACAGTGACTTCAGTGAAGTGTTCAAAAAACATGTGACTGTGGCACCTGGGGACATGGTTTAGTGATGGGCTTGACAGTGCTTGGTTAATTGTTGGACTTGATGAACTCAGAGGTCTTTTCCAACCTAAATGGTTCTATGATTCTGTGCCTTGTCTGTTAAAAGTAGGCACACAGGGAAAGAAGTTTTTCATTTAACTGTAACCATCTAGAAGTCAGCTGTCTGGTTTAAGGTATTTATTTAGGGTCTTCTCAGTATTGGTCTCCAGCATAACTGGATTCACAGTTAATTCATTAGCTTGTGAATTCACATTCCTGTTCATTACCCAGCGAATCCACGTGGCTAGTGTGGTATCCTAACTTTCAGTCAGGTGTCTTGCATCCCTTTGCATTGAATCCAAGCAGGATTGTCCCTTCCAGGCTTTCTTCTCTGTCTTTACTTTTCTTGGTAGTACTGGGGAGGGACCCCTGATAAACGTGATTCCAACTGTCTCATCGTCTCCAGCAATGAAAAGTAAAATGAGTAAAGTGCAAGACCATGTGGATTTATGTTGCAGAGAGGGTGTCTCTGAGTCTCTGTCACTTGCTGTGGTGTTGGGCACCTCTGTAACACAATAAAGGCAATTTCTGATGTGCGGGAGAGTTTAATGTCTCTCCACATTACGTGTGTTGTGCTTCTGCTGCTGGAAATGTTTTCCTGAATACCTGTGCAGGTGCTGATAACTGTGGCAATAATGTGCTTGTTGTCATTTACTTGCTTAATTAGCAGCCTAATATCCTGGTCCAGTTAATGCCTATAAGAGGAGGTTTATTAGTAGTACAAAAGCTGTTTAAGCCTTATAAACTCCTTCCAGCCAGTTTCATTGGTCTGCCAATATCTTCTGGTTGAGTGATTCTTTGCTGATTCACGCTTCTCTTTGCCATTGCTGCTTCTCAGCTGAATGTTTCTGGGTAACCAGAAAGCCTTTTGCCAAAGTGACAGACATTAGAATACCAATTAAAAACAAACAAACAAACAAACAAACAAACACAATATTCCCAGAACTGTTTAAAAAAAAAAAAAAAAAAAAAGAAAGAAAAAGTAACTGCAAGATGACTGCTATTGTAATATTATATTGTCTCCAAAGCACTAAGGGAAAAAAAAAACCCAGTCAAAACCTGCAAAAACAGGCAGGCAAATTGCAGAATGACATGAGTTTTAGTAATGTCTGCCCTGGGTAAGTAAGCCCTATCCAGTCTGGAAGGTTGGGAAATAGTCTGAGATGTGTAGTTGTAGGGTAATACTCTGAAAATTGAGAAATAGCATTTTAGGTATGCTTAAGAGAGGAGATTTTTCAAGCTTAGTGTCAGCTCAAATGCCAAAGCTGAGAAGAGTTTCTGGAGGCCTTAAAACAAAAGGGCTCATGGCCACTCCTGATATAATTACTACTGTTGATGTGTTCAGTGAGGGTATTTTTCTCTGACTAGATTTGACAGAATTTAGGAGTGCAAAGTCCTAGCGGAAAAGGGTTTGAGTTCTCCTTTGGATGCTCAGAAGAACTGCTGCACCATAACCCCATCCAGTTTGTGATGACTTTCGTAGTCTGTGGCAGCCCCAGCCTCGTACTGCAGACAAAGAGCAGATTGTTGAATTACACAGGAGTTTTGCACCTTCAGCCTCCATTGTAAGTTTTGACCACTCAAATGTGAGTGAGGAATCACAGCATGGTTTGGGTTGGAAGGGATCTTAAAGACCATCTAATCTAACACCCTTTCTGTGGGCAGGGACACCTTCCACTAGAACCCCACTTCAGAACCCCACTCAGCCTGGGGTAGGGCTAATTTAGAGAACTCTGTCAAATGCCATGAATATTCTAAAAGTTGAACTGGAGACCCAAGAACCTGATGTATGGGGAAATACTTTGGCAGTGTAGGACTTTGTACCCTTACTGCTGTCATTGCTCTGCTTTGCTCCTCTCTGCCTTTATTCCTCTAACCTGTGTCTCTCTTTTTCTCTTTCTTTTTTTTTTACAGGACTTGAAGCAGAGATTATTTCTTATGATATTTGTAAAGAACTATAAAAATAAAGCCACATTCTGAGACAGATCCAGCATAAGTACTTAATTCAAATAAAAATAGAACTGTAAAGGCTGGCTGCAAAATGAGAGAATTCAGTCTAAAAACATATTTTTTTATTTTTTTTTTGTTTGTCTTCTGCAGAAAAGAGGCTCCAGACATTCCCTATAATTTAACTGTGACTGATAGCAGGAATAAGACAACCACAGTCAATTATGTCCCTGATACTTTATCAAACCTGTATGGTTGGGTGGTTCTCCTTTTGGATAAAGAGACCTACACATTGACATTTGACAACCCTTTGGCCAGCAAACAGCTCCAGGTAAAACCAGAATGTTTTATAATTTCAGAATTGTATCTGGAAGAGATAACCATGCTTTCATATTTTCAGGTGTGCAGATAGAATTAAAAAATGGTTAAATGCACTGAGAAAATCTCTATTAATTTAGATAAGATGACCTAGTCCTTGAAGCTCTCAGTATTAAATTGGAGCAGGAAGATCACAGAATCATTGAATGGTTGGGTTGGAAGGGACTTTAAAGACCATCTAGTTCCAGCTCTCCTTCCACAGGCAGGGATACCTTCCACTAGACAAGTTGCTCCAAGCCCTGTCCAACCTGGCCTTGAACACTTAATGATTCAGTATTCAAGGCCAGGTTGGCCTGAACAGTTCAGGGAGAAAGTTCAGTGTGGTGCTTAGGAATCACGGAGACTTTTACTGCATTAACACATGCTGAAGTATGGTTTTCACAAGACATTGTTCCTCTGCACCAGGGGAGTCGATTTTCTCTGCATTTACCACCATCTTCTGCTTAATTTTACATCGCTCTTCTTGTTTCCAGCACATGTGTTGCAAAAGAATATGTTGCCTGTGAGGAGAACCATCCTCTTTACTCCTCTATACTGCACTCCATGGAGCTTTAATCACAGACTCGTGTGTGTTTATTTTGGTTCCTTCCTCTCTAGTATTCTGTGACATTTAGCAGCTTCAAGACTGGGAATTACTTGCTGGTGGAACACAAGGACCTTCCTGCCCATCTCGAGGTCGTGGTGTCCTGTGGGACAAGGACTGGAGAGCCACTCCAATCCCTGCCTTCGTATGGGCAACACAGGAGCTGTGATTGGTATCTTGACAGCAGGCAGGGGAAGTTGACCTATCTGGGTAAGTGCAATTCAAGGATTGCAATGCCCCTTTTTATTCAAGAATGGTCACAGAGCTGATGCTTTTTTAATTTAAACTCCAGATATACCCAAGGCCATCTTTCAACGGCCTTTCAATAGGTGAGAGTTCCTCCAAAGTGTGAATCAAATAGATGAATGCACATCAGGTCCATCCCTAACTGATCAGTCTGATGCCTGATCTATCAACAGAAGGAATGTATCATAAATAGTGGGTGATGCGACATCAGTTGCATTGGAATTGGTTTTTTTGGAGAGGTAAAGACATTAAATTCCACTAAGGACCTCTGATGTCAGCTTGGTTCCTATGTCACATGTATCATTAATTCATGGGTAATCTAGATAAGATGAGCCCACTGAAGTCAATGGGATTATTGGGAAAGAATTTTTTTCTAGGACTGGAAAATTCCAAAGACTTCTCGACCTTTGCATGTGAATACTTTGAGTTTGTATGCTACATCATGAAGACTGGCGGTCCTTTTTAAAAAAATAAATTCAGATATTTTACTGATACTCATTCAAGTTTCATTTATTCTTTTAAATTTTGGAGATTTTCCACAATTTCCATTCTCAGGCACATAATTTCATAAGGGTCTAAGCTCTATATGTCAAAAGCAAGGTAGTGATTTTTGCTTTTATTAGTAATAGTAGAACCCTAGAACCCAGAATCACAAAAATATTTTGGTGTCTTTGAGAAGCAGAGCTTTTTCTTCATGACTGTTACACAGGGAAAGTAAAGATGATGACTTTTACAGTAAGAAAACTTTTTACTCATCTAATCCATTAGAATTTCCCTTGATTTGCACTAATGAGATGGCACGTAAATGGCTTTCTCATGTAGGATCTCTTTAAGAATGAACAACTAGAACAACCATTGGGACAGTGGAGAAGAAAACACAGCTGGAATGAGAGCAGGCAAACCCCTGAGTCTGGTCTGGGAATAGTGAAAATCATCCTGTATGCATTGCTGGAGAAATGGGAAGCCCATACCTTAATCTCAGTCTGAAAATCACACTTCCTGCATCCACCTGTGGTCCTGCAGCCAACTGCCATTGCACAGCTCGTGTCCATGCAGCTTAATATTTTAGCTCTCAAAACAGGCTGGATACATTCAGGCTTCAAGCTGGGAAAGTTCCCTGTCCTGTGCTAACTCCAAAATTATACTGGTCACCATCTGGGAGTCTGGGCCGAAGCTGTGCAAGGAACTTGGCCAGCAATATAACCATGTAGATTATTGGGGTCCAGGTCCTAGTTCTGTGTCCTGGCCTTGTTTAGATATACTACAGTATAGATACTATAAACTCAGCTGTTGAGTCTAAGCCTTGCCCAAGATCACGACAAGTATCTACTGAAAGCACAAAAAAGTTTTATTATTTCACTTTACCTACTGTGTAAATTTGTTCTTCCAAATATAAAAGTTGACTGCTTCTCAGTCTGCATATCCTGAGTTGTACTGTCAGAGCAGCATGAGAAAACTCAGAAGATGGTGTCTTCTGATGTTATCTTGGTCTCTGCTGATGAAAATAGAGGAGATAACAGTCTTGGGAAGACTGAGATGTGTCATTCTTGCATCACCAATATTTTATGGTCCTTCTCTCACCTTTCTTTCCTCTTGATTTTTATTATGTGAAGAGCTTGTTGTTGTTTCTCATTTTAATAGAGAAACAATCATCCAAGGTACACGAGGGGAAATTTATGAAAACACCTAACATGTATAATTCACGCTGTGAACATTTTCAGTGAGGACTTTCATAGGAGTGAGATCAATAATTCAGTGTCAGGTACCTCATCTCTGTGCTGTTGGTGTAGGGTGAAAGTCTGAAACAAAGTGAGCAGATTCCCAGCCCTGGTGTGCCATTTCATTTCCCTCCCAGTCTCCACCGTGCAGGCTGAGATGGTGAGGATAATCAGCCAGTAGAGAGCAGACTCATGGCATGCGGTGGACTTTCCATCACTCAGGGCCCTTAGATGATGCTTGGCCATCTTTTCAGAGAATACATTCTAGCTCTTAGAGAAGCTATTAGGAACCTCATGAGGAGAGATTCACGCTCTGTAGGAGGTCAGAGAAGGTTGCCACAATAGTCCCTTCTGGCCTTAAGAAACCCACCAGTCCACCCACCGACCCAGAGAGGACAAGGCTTGAAGGTCTGGCCTTCACACCATCTTCCTACCTAACTCTGTTATGCAGGGTTTTGTTTTATTTTTTTTTGTGGTGTTTTTAAATATTTTATTTACATTTAGCTATATGAAATAATTAGCCAACTAATTAATCCCGTTTACAAGCTTTGTCGGATTCTTCAGCTGTCAGTCAAGCCCGAGCCCCGGGCCGGCGTAGAGTCTTAGCTCCCTCCTTCATCAGCCTTGGTCTCCATGGCTACAGGCTGCATCTGCTGACACCCCACTCTCTATTTACTGCTTAATTAAGAATTTCACGCTCAGCCCTTATCTGCTGCTAAGAACAAGAACACACTGTTAAGAAACTCCAAATTTAGGCTGCTGCACAAGGAAAGCCTTTCTTGTTGTCCTGCCTGCGTGGAGCCTCTTTAACTACCCTCTTGGCAACCGCGCTGCCACCCTTCAATCAAAAATCATTAAATGGGGCAGAGATAATGAGCATGTAGCATATCAAAAGGAGGATGTTTGCTCGGGCTAAGGAGGAAAAGCTGTAAGGGCCTATAAGCAGCCGCCACTTCAAAGGGAGAAGGGGCTGATAAAGAGTCATTTGTTCCTGTTTGACTTATGTAAAAGGTCTGGTATGTCGGAGTCCCGTCTAGCAGACGCGGGTCCCCCCTCTCCGCGCTCGTGTGTCAGCGGTCGGGCAGCTGGGCGCAAACAGCATCAGCCCAAGCATATAATCACTTGACTCCGCGCCCACAATGGGCACTTGTAGGGGGTGGCCGAGGGACAATGGGAAGACAATTATTGCAGCTGCTCGGGAGGGCCATAATTCTTCCTGCCCCAAGTCGCCGGCTCTCGCAGGGCGGAGGGGAGCGCTCCAGCCTATTAGTCATCCCCCGACTTTTGGAAGCTCCTCGCCGTGCCGGTGGGGTTTCGACAGCTGCTGGTGTTACCACCTCTTTGCAATAATTGTACATTCTGGCAGGGGTCAACTTACTTTTGACCCGCCGCTTTTGTGCCTGTCAGAGAGCCTTTTAGGGCAAACTGTGGGGAAGTGGCAGGGGTGCATTACATCCAAAATTAACGTCGGTAAATACGGATCAGATGCCGGCTCATTCACAAGCAGGCTCCTGAATTCACACAGCCTTTTACTCAGGCCTGCATGGGGAGAAAAGGAGGGAGAAGGGGAGGGAAAACCCCGTGACTGAGAAGATATTGTTATTTAAACGAAGCGGGCAGCTGAGTGAAGCCACCTTGGCCAGCAGTTCTCCTTGGGCTCAGGCTTTCTCCATGCCCTCTTCCATCCGAAATTGCCTGGCGTCATGCAAGTGTTTGTTTATCTTTGGGGGAGGAAAAAAAGGTCTGTCTAACACAAAAGGCAAGAAAATAGACCGTATGGAGGGGATTAAGGGAGTTAAGTTGCACGATGCTTGGAGTTTTGCAAATTAGGCTTGGGCACGGGAGAATGCAGAGGGTGCTGAATGGGGAGAGATAATTGTAATGGAGAATGTTTCTGTTATGTGGGTAATGATCCTATTAACAAAGGAATCACTGCTACCTACGCACTTGAAACTCTGTTAACCAGCCCATAAGTCCCTTTGAAAATCGTCTCTTTGGACCATTTTAAAGGATTTTGGTATTGAAGGGCAGATAACTCCATGTGCCTGCTGGATGCTGGGTGAAGGGGAGACAAGGGAGCTTGAGGGATCTTATGCCAGTCATTTCTACATCATCAGCTTTGCTTTGTCATGATTCAGCCTTCATAGCAACACCCTGATTTTCTCTGGGTCACCCACTGCCTTAAGAGAAACCTTCCTCAAAGGTCACTGGTGGGCCCTGGAATTGTGTGTGACTCTCCAAAACACTGATGGGTTGTGGCTCAACCATGTTTAGGGAGAGTGAAACGTTATGTGACTGTGCTGCATCAAAAAGAAAACACTTACTGTAACAAGAGTGGTGGAAAGGAACATCACACTGGGACATCTGGGATATTTTTAGGAGAAATATCCTGTGTAAATTGCAATAGTAACATTATGAGCTTTTTAAGTCTGTTACAAATTTCAGCATATGGTGCCACAGTGTGGTACTGCTCCTTGGTTAAGGTCTCTGGGCAATACTGGCACTTGCAAAAAAACAGAGAGATGTTGATTGTCTCTTGTTCGCTTTTGAAATGTTTAAACCATTTTCTTTTGGAATGAAACAAAGAGTTGGCTTCCTGCATGCCCAGATTTCTCTTGGCTTTTTCTACTTTTTCTAAAATTGAAGGGCTGGACACAAACATTATTGAAAACACCACTGAAAGGATTATCAAACTTTTTATTTACCCCAAATACATTTGTCAGTAGACACAACTTTTATGGAGATGGGTCATCCTGCTGACTGCTCAAGTAACTCATGTGTGAGTTGTTAAGAGGGCCTGAGGCTCAACCTCATATTACTGCTGTGTCAGAAGCAGGTTTATAGTTTCCATAGTTCTTAAAAAAAATAATTTGATTATACTTATTGTCTCTTCTAAAGATTCCTAAAGAATGATCTCACTTCCATTAGATTCTGTGAGTTCCTGTATTTTCTTTGTATAGGAGGAAAAACAGACCCATAAGAATGTTTGTCTCTGATATGAAAATACAGAAAATAAATAAACACAGATATATTCTGAAGCCTTATTGCTTGGGGGGTAAAGGAGAATCCAAGGTTAAAGACCTAAAGAATTGAGTTAATTCTTTACAGAGGACTTGTTGTGCAGGGATGGATCTTTTCTTCCAGCCAGATAAAACTCACCCCATATCAGTTTTCTCAAGGGCCAGTTGACCAGATGTGGGTTGCTCAGTGGCCTCCATGGAATGAAATGTCAGTTCTTGGCATAGAGGTGCCCTTTGAAGTCATAGAATCATTTAGGTTCAAAAAGACCTCCAAGATCATCAAGTCCAACCTGTGACTGACCCCCACCTTGTCAACCAGACCAGAGCACTGAGTGCCATCTCCAGTCAGTCCTTGGACACCTCCGGGGATGGGGACTCCACCACCTCCTGGGCAGCCCTTTCCAGTGGTTGACAAGTCTGTCAGTGAAAAAAATTCTTCCTGATATCCACCCTGAACCTCCCCTGGTGCAGAGGCCATTTCCTCTTGTCTTGTTGCAAATTGCTTGGGAGAAGAGGCCAAGCCCTGCCTGGCTACAGCCTCCTTCCAGGTAGTTGTAGAAGCAATAAGGCCTCCCTGAGACCCCTTTCCTCCAGACTAAACCCCCCCATCTCCCTCATTTGCTCAATTTTTCAATAGACACATAGAGAAAAAACAACCTTCTCCTGGTGGGTGAGATCCTGTCCTTGTGGCGTGGAAGCAGAGAGACCAGAGAATGTAGCAGTTAAAGAAATAAGATGATGAAATGCCCTTATAATCCTGTCAGGGATGGTTTTTCGACTATGTGATGTCTGCAGGAGGAATTTCACACCTTCACCTCTGCCTCTGCAAATATTAATCTGTTGTAAGCAAGAATCTGTGTCCACTAGCCCAAGTGTATATGTGTCTATATATACATATATGGATATGTACATACATATTATGTATATATATAATGTTTTTTAACATCTCTTCTCACTTCAGTGTCCCCATTATACTATATTTCTGGGTATTTCCTGTAGCAGATCCTCACAAAGGATGACAAAACACCCTCTCCCAGGTTCTCCAGCTTCTAGAGGTGTGTCTCACTGTGTGGTTGATTGTGCTGTCTAAAAAGTTTTGATTTCCCAGTGATGGATGTTAGCCCAATTGATGTTAAATAGCATGGAGCTGCTTGTTATTTGTAAGTCAGGCTATTGGAGCCATTTATCCTCGTTTCAGCCCTTCCTAATATCCACAGGCGAAATTCCGAGTCACTGCAAAGCTGATAAAAGACTGAGTTGCTCCTCCTTCATGTTCACTCAAGGAGCCCTGAACCAGGAGAAAGTTACCAGGACTATCATCCAGAAGGCCTATATTTATGATTCACAGCCCAAACATCCAGGAGGAGCTGTAATAAGGCAGAAAATTGATGAGCCTTATAAAGGTTTTATACAACTAAACCCTGGAGCCTTATAACTGCATTTTGAGAAGAGTCACCTTAATTCAATGTTTACTAATGATGTCCTTCATCTGTATTGCCTGTATCTCTTCCTGTCCTGTAAAACCCAGTGATAAGGGACTCAGGAGCAAAACAAAACAACCAGAAGGACTATGCCACTGTAGTCTTGATTAATCCCAATGCCTTTATCTTTTCTGATCAGTTTTAAGGAGTATTTGTGGGAAATGGCAACAAAACACGACTGATTTACAACCATTGTACTTTGCACCCTGTCAATATAAATAATTGTTACAAGTTACAAGGCTGAGGAGAATTCTGTGGAATATTCTGGCCCCAATTGCTGCACTCATGGAGGGTATAAATGACGTAAAATGGTTTGAATTTTTATGCCTTCTAGTGGGATGACACTTCCAACATGAGAAGTTTTTATTGTTACCCTGACTCTGGATAGGACTGAGTTAAGTCTTAATGGTTCTTTTTTTTCTTCACTATGTAAGGGGATTGAACCCCTTTACGAGGTCTGTACACCATATTGATCATATTTTATGTCTCCTCAGGATTTAATTAAAACGGCTTTTCTCTGAACAATACAAACATCCTTAATTAGATGATTTCACTCTAACGCCTGCAAAAGTAAGAAAAAACCAACCAAACAAACAAACAACAAGCCTGACAAAATATATTTAGCCAAAAAAGGACAGTGTCAGGTCTTGGTTCTCTCACTTTCCCTAAGGCTGATGCATCAGCTTTGACTCCTGGTTTGCCTTGTGTAAGTGAGAAGAAAGACCAGCATAACCATAAAAGTGCAGAGAGATCTATTGTCTGAAAGCCACGTGAGCTGTGCCAAAGGGTCTAAATTAGTCTTCGTGTCATTCTTTCTCCTCAAAGGTTCACCTTGTGGCCACTCAAGACATGATGGACACGATGGTGTTCGTTGTGAGCTCTGTGTGATGATTTGGGGCAGATTGGCTTGACTGATGTATGGATCAGATCCCAGCTACCTTTGGGAGAGAAGGTGTCACTGAAGAACAGGGCTGAGGCACCTGATTACTAATTAATCAGACATGAGAAAAACCTCATGGAATCAGTTTCTATTTAATTATGGAAGCCTCATTTGGCATAGGAGCATATGCTGCTAACTCAATCGAGTGCTTTCAACTGACATCAAATAGTAATTATCAGAAAGAATCAAGTTTTTTGATTATTCATACTAATTTATTGAACACTTAAAATTAATGAACCTCAGTTATTTTAAATTTGCTCAGTTGCACTGGGAGACAAGGAGGGAGGTAGGGAAGGATGGGTTTCGCAATTTAAAAGTGCAGAGACTTGTTTAAAGATAAAATAAGTAAATTACAATATGGCATGAAATCCCCTCGGTGGGTTGATACACATGCAGGAAAGTTCCTGGCATGTTCTGGAACTGAGGGAAGTTCTGACAATGGCTTCATTGATACGATTCTTCTACCTCCCCCCCAAAAAAATCCTTCAATAACATTTTAGGGTCACCATAAGGGGTTGGGCAGAGGACAGGAGATTTATTTGTTTGTCAGAGTGTTTCTATTTTAACCTATGGTTGTTCCAGTCTGGTGACTGAAAGGAAGTGCCTTTATATGCCACTGGAGATGAAGAGGAGGTAGGATTTGAGCTAGGTCTGAAGCAGCTTTCTCCTGCTCCTCTTTGATTTGCATTATTCTGGCCCTTCTCCTGCTGACAATACTTGGGCACAAAGGTTACAACTGTGATAATTGCTTCTAACCCCTTTTCACAGCAGAGAACACAGGGTCCCTGTCTCCAGCCTATAAAGTCTGACTAATTAAAGCATCTCTTTCAGATACCAGATTTTGGGGGTAAAAAAAAAAAAAAAAAAAAAAAAAAAAAATAAAAATAAAAACCTGACTACAAAACAAAAGCTATAATTCGCTTCTTGAGCCAGTTAATACATTATGCATTCAGTGGTGTGATACTGCCTGTGTTGGTGGAACTGCTGTGGATTTATAGTGGGATAAATGAGATTCCAGTTCCAGCCTAGAATTTCTGATTGTTGAATGTTTTCTTTTAGCTGTTTCTAATGAGTTGTCTTGAGACCCTCCATATCTGTAAATTAAAATGTGTTTGTTTAATCCTTTCTCAAAGCACAAAAGAAAAAAAAAAGGCACAAAAAATGCTCAGAAAACATGTGTAGTTGCTCTTAAAAATTTTTTTTGTAAGAAATGAATAATGATGCCAGGAATTCATGTGTAGCAATTTATTTGATATGACTTTTTGTGTCTGTTCATTTGTAAATCCCTAAAATTCTCTGTCTTCAGTCACAGGGGCTGACTTAATTCAGGTCACACTGAAAGAGAAGAAAAGAGTGTCTTTTCCTACCCCAGGTGGGTGACAGTCTGTGTCAGGAAGGTTTGGTGTGGGAGTCACACCACTTCTTTTTTTTATGGCTTTTTCAGGAATAAATTGCTGTTTTTCACTTCAATATTTTGCACATCTATCAACCCAAGAGAGGTTCTTGGTATTCATTTGAGCATTTCATTGAGCCATATCTACCATTGCTCAAGATAAATGTGTGATTCCACAGTATAAAAGACTATAAACTTTTACTAAGAAATACCATGGCAGATCAGAAAGGTCATGGAGAATGTAAGACTAGAGTATTTTAGTACTTCATAATCTGACATTGCTTCAGAGTTTCATGTTGAATCAGACAGAAATATATACCAGAGACAAGGGAAACTTCCAAATTTTTATATTAATTGCATAGCTGCCTTGCTATGTATCATGTGCATTTAGGGTAATTTTTGCAGACTATTTCCCCCAGAACAAACAAGGGATGGAAAGACAGACCCAGCCTCAAGGAGCACCACAAAGATTTAATTTCTCTGTGTTTCCCCGTGTTGGCAATGGATGTTTTTCTACTCCACAATGTTACTAAGCTAGGTGTAGCCCCCAGTACTTAGGCATGTACTTGCTCCTCTGTTTTGAATACCCAATTAAGACATCCTCAAGGAAGAAAAAAAATGCCAGAATTCCCTTTACAGTGGTAGGGCAGAAGTAGGTGCTTGTAGAGGCCTCCAGAGGGAGGCCCTGCCTGCGTTAGTTTAGGACTTACTAAACTTAGCATGCAAGATTTCCCCTTGAAGACTTTCCTTCGTCTCTTGATGGCAGAACAAACTTAGGGGCAATCGGTTTACGAAGCCTGGCTTGTTAGCTCTTTAAAACACAAGTGCATGCCAAGCACCTGCCTTTTGCAAACTCAGTTTATTCCAATATTTTCCTCAGGCTCAGGAGTTTCCTTTTGGATTCAACTGAAAAAGAAATCTTTTGGGAATGAGCAGGAGTTGCCATGTCTTGGTCAAGCTTCTTCTCCAAGGCAGGTCTTAGTCACCCCTTGGAATGGGAAGACTCCTGCTTTTCTGAGTGCTAACAAGCTTGTAAGAGTTGATCACTCATTTTTAAAAATCTTTCATACTTTGGGAACTTGTGGAAATTTCCATACCCCAGGAATTCAATCAAGCAGCTTTCTTTGAGCATGGAAGATAACAAAGAGCAGTTAATGTTGCTTCATCAGTGACGGGAGGATGATAATGTCACAGATGCTCGACTATCAAAGAAGTGGTAATTCTTCCAGCTAATGAAAATTATAATTCTGTATTTGTATTTTCTGCTTTGTAGATCCTGCTGGTGCAGTCCTGAAGTGGTCACACCCAGAGACATGGAATGACGTGGGAAAAGGCTGGGGTGGATCCAACTGCAGCATTCCAGGCCCTGGGGAAGATGTCATCATCCTGCCTAGTACGTAAGGAAGGAAAGGTCTTCAATTCCTGTAAAGGGGCTGGGCTCTTTACTTTCCTCTACATTAGGAAGTATATTTGTGTTGCAACATGGGCTCCTTGGCCCTACTGTGCATTCAAGTGCGTGCAGGACCCCACACTTGCTCCTTGTCACATGGAAATCTTGACTACAGTACAGGAATGTAAGTTTTGGAAGAGAGTAATACTTCTTTTCCATTTATATACACACAAACACACACACACACTGTCATTCAAGCTGAAACATGTTCATGAACCTTATTTGAGGAGCAGAGAATTTGCAAGGCCCAAAACCATCAAGTCACAAGGAGCTTAATCTCTTGACCCACCTCTCTGTGTTTTGTGCAGGGATCATATTTTACAGTTCCACAGTGGTACAACCTTCCATTTTATTTTCCTCTTACAATTCCCACTATCAGTGATAATCTCTCAAACCATTTCCCATGGATGCCTCCAGGACATTTTAGCTCATGTCTGTATTTCAACCTGTATTTCAACTTGAGCTACGTGTGGATCCCAGCTCAGCTTACAACATTACCTCATGAAAACTGAATTCTGGTGAATATATAAGGCAATTTGCAATGAAATCTGGAGTAAAAACTGGTGATAACCATTTTATATAAGAGCTGACCCTGCTCTGATGAGGAAGCTGGGCTAGACAAGGTCCTGAAGCCTGTTCCAGACATAATGATTCTATGATTCTATGAATATGGTATGGTATGTACCTGACATGTTCTAGGACCTGGTGCTGGCTCCTCCTCATTAGTTTGAAACCAGGTAAGTCACTCTACCTGCCACAGCACCACTTCTGGAAATGGGGATAACACTGCTCCATGTCTACTCCTCTCCCCCTCTTTTTGGCTCGTGGCCTTTGTGGAAGGCAGTGTTTGGTTTGGTATTTTTCTGTGGAACCTCGTTCGTGGTTAAGGCTTCTCTGACCTATGTCATTAAAAATAACAGATATGTATATTTTCAGGTTACATTAAGAATTATGATCAGCCTTCAATGAATATTTAGTTTAATCTTTGATTTTCTGGTAAATATGAAAAAAAAAAAAACAAAACAAAACACCAAACCCCCTATATTCTTTTTGAAATAGCACTTTTTTACACTTATGGGGGGAAGTCAAATTGAACCGGAGTGGATAATTTATATTTTGTGGTTAAATCCATTTTTCCTATTAAAAAAAAAAAAAACACAATGTTTTTTTTTTTTTCCAAGGTCTACCATCTGACTGGATATAATACATAACTGTGGTTATGTACTAGTTCAATGATAGCATTATATCGAGCTCCAGGGCTCAAGGCACTTGCTTACAGCATGATACCTTGTGCTACTTGAAGCACTCCAGGAGCATCCTGGCTAAGCCATCAGACAGCTCAGTTCCTGCTCCATTCTTACCACTGTCATATTTGACCCCTTATGAAGCACTAAAGAGTAGGACATTTCACATATGCTTTGCTCCCTTTTGGGTCCTCTTGCCATGGATGGATTTTGGCACACGTATTTTGGCATATTTTGTCCTTCCTACTCTCCAAGAGCAAAGCCAGAGACTACACCAGAACATCTGTCTCAGCTTCTTGTGTATGACGTTATATCCAGTTTACCGATATCAGCCTATGATTGTCAAAAGCCAAGGAACATTTCAATCTTCAAAACCATGTGTCAGGTGCAGATATGAACAGACACAAAGGTAAATCACAATTCAAGTAGAAGCAGGGAATAAAAATCGAATAAATAATTAGGTTTGGCCAAGATTTTGGAGTTCTGTTGTTTAGGTCAGATCAGGAGAGAGGGAGCTGGACGCTGAAGTTGTGATGGTCCTTTGGTGCATTGCAAACTCACCTGTGAATAAAACTCCTCTGTGTTTCCTGCAAAGTTGAGGCACAGGAGCACATCCAGAAAAGGGCAACAGAGAAAAGCAAAAGGGTCTGGAGCACAAGAAGTGGCTGAGGGAGCTGGGGGGGCTCAGCCTGGAGAAAAGGAGTCTCAGGGGCACCTTCTCACTCTCTGCAACTCCCTGACAGGAGGTGGAGCCAGGTGGGGGGCTGTCTCTTCTCCAGAGGAGTGAGAAATGGGACAAGGGGAAGCAGTCTCGAAGTTGCACCAGGGGAGGTTTAGATTAGGAACAATTTCTTCACTGAAAAATTGTCCAGTCCCTGAACAGCTGCCCAGGGCAGTGGTGGAGTCACCATCACTAGGGAGATTTAAAAGATGTATAGATGTGGCACTTGAGGACATGGGTCAGTTGTGGGTTTGGCTGTTCTGGGTTAACAATTGAACTTGGTGATCTTGGAGGCCTTTTCCAACCTAAACAATTCCATGATTCTATAATCCTTTCAATAAAATACTTATTTTAGCTGCCCTGTGATGCTGACCATGGCCTTTGTCACGTACCACAAGGCCCTTCACGACTAAGCCATGCCTGGAGCATTGCTCATTTCTGCCCCCAGCCCAGCCCAACTGATCTAGTTCTAGGACTGGAGACAACACTGCTGCATCAGCACGGCAGTGCACCAGAACTAATTAGCTCTCCTGAGAGACAAAGCTCGTTAGCTCGGGCCTGGCACTGTGCAGTGTGACCCTACAGCTTTCGGGGTCAAAAGTAATGTCCTATGAATTTAGAGTGGTGCTGGTTTGGTCAGTTTAACTGGGGCATGTCTGTGCTGTGAGGTGAGGTACAGGGATTCTCCCTAACATACTGGTGGCTACTGGTTAAGCGGCAGCAGGGTAAGGATTGGGCTATTAAATATAATCTGGGTCTTACCCTGGGCAGGGATGGAACTGAGAGGCCAGGACTATAAAATCTGTCCCAAACCAGAATGCAAGTTGGTGCCTGAACAGCAGGATAAGACTCTTGGATTTCCCAGTTCTAAATCACCTCCTCAGTGCAGGGTGCTCCAGAGTGTACAATAAAACTGTCCCTGCTCTTCAAAGGGGCTTTACTGGTCAAATAAACCCCCACAACAAAATGCATAATGGATTAAAAGGAAAGAGGTAAGTGGGAACTGAAAATGCACTACCTGCTAGAACAAGTGGAGAGCCACACTCTGTGAATCTTCTTCCTAGCAGCAATAGGCATGAAGCTGTGTTGGAGGAGTTTGCATTGGATATCAGGAAGAGGATCTTCCCCCAGAGGGTGGTTGGGCACTGAACAGGCTCCCCAGGGCAGTGGGCACAGCCCCAAGGCTGACAGAGCTTAAGGAGTGTTTGGACAGTGCTCTCAGGGACAGGGTGGGATTGTTGGGGTGTCCTGTATAGGGCCAGGGTTTGGACTGGATGATCCTTATGGGTCATGAACACAAATGCAAGCTGTCTATCATACCATCTACTTTGAGAGGATACTGCTCTTCTGATCATCCTCCCTCTATTTTATTGCTGCTTTCCCTCCTTATTCTTGCTGGCTTGGATAATTGAGGCACTTATTGGCATTGGAGTCAACAGAGTGCAGGCCCTTAAACTGGAGTCATTGTCCTTACCAGTGAGATAAGGGCACTGGATTTGTTGCTCAAATAAAGGCATTTAAAATGCAGTCAAGGTAAGATGAATTTTTGGTCCGTTTCTCACTCTTTGCTTTGCTGCCACAAGTGTTTGAGTTTCCGGTTTAAAGAAAATCAACCCCTTGCTTGGACCCAAGATTTAAAATGAAATCAACAATTCCTAAATTTGTGTTTAATTGTAGCATTTTACAGATGTTTCTCTTCCCATCTCCATTGGTTTGTGCATAACCTTCTAAACTCAGACTGACTCTAAATGGCTTCAAAAAAGTGAGAGTTTGCTCTTGTGAGAACAAGCATTCTACAAACCACCCAAAATTTATGCTCCTCTGCATACCCAAATAAGTTTTTGTGATTCACTCCTGGAAAGATGCAGCTGTGTTTTACTCCTTGCTGTCTTCTGATTACTTAAAATTCTCTTTTGGGAGCCACCTATGATGATTTTCAGGTTGAAAGCCAAGACATAAACCTACTTTTGATATGCTGTGCATAACTGGGTTAGTCCTTTCAGCCCCCAAAGAACAGGTTTTGAGTTATAAAAGCAAATAATAGATGTTTAGTGCTCATTTTTAGCATGAGGAAGAGCAGGGAAAGACTTTGATCTGACACTGTTGAAATCTCTGAATGAATGTGAAATGCTAGAGTTCACTGAAGACCCAGGGCACTGCCTAAAAATTTAGCTAATGAAAGCTTTAATTTGCTTATTTAACAAAATAAGCAAAATCACATATTTAGGGCTGCCTCATGGGCTGGACTCTGGTGGATCCCTCCCAACTCAGCATATTCTATGATTCTATAAGTTTGAAAAGGTTGAAAATACCTCTATTAGCAAAATATACATATTAGAAACCAGGTTTTTGTGCCACTGTTTGGCATCTGCTTGACACATAGAGGATGATATTTGGAGAGCTTGGAAATCGGGATTGTGTACAAAGTTATTCTTTTTTTAATTTTATTTTATTTTTTTCACCCATTGTTTTGAAAGCATTGATGAGACTTCAGGATCTTAAAGATCCTTAGTAGGAAAATGAATTTCACTTGCAGCAGAGGTGGGTCCCTCATGTTGAAGTGGTTCGTGTGTTACAAGTCTCCTCAGTGTCTGGCTCTCCAGCAGGTACGAGTCTCTTTCAGCCTGATCTGGAAATCCTCAGCTCAGGCTGCCACAACTTGTGACTTTATCCCTGGGGGTTCATCCTCCAGGGCCCCAGCCATCCCACGAGGACCTCTCACATGCATCAGGCTGCAGCAGTCACACCATCTCAAAAAACAAGCTTCAGGAGTTGAGTCATGCCGTGCCAGCAGCCAGCAGTGGCATCAGCTTCCCAAAGCTCTCAGATTTTCAGGGCTTTGGTTTATGGCTTTCAGTGTGACACACTCCTGATGCAGCGTGCTCTGGGTGGAGGGAGAATGTGTTATAATTCCAAGCAAAGGAATGCTGTTTTGAAGGCTATTGATATGATATCATGTAGCCTCTGGCAATTTCTATCTCCCCCCTTTTTTTTTTTTTTTTTTTTTTTTTTTTTTTTTTAAATTTTTTTTTTCTCCAGTGGTGGAATTCACTCTGTTCTTCATTTTCTGATTTTGATTTTCTTTGAAGTTTTCTGTTTGAAGAGATGAATGCTGGAGTACTGTATCTCATATAATAGCTCTCTGTTGTGCCTGATTTCCATTCAATGGCAATGCTATGGTGTTTTATACAGCAATGCTGTTGATCAAAGGCATTTCATGTCAATGCTGGAGTCATTAGTGACTTCTCAGCATTGTATGTCTGAACATTAAAACTGCCATACCTGTGAGCTTTTTGTCTGAAGAAAATAAATGTACAGTGAAGCATAGCCTTGTTTTCAGGCTCAAACTATGGTTTGCTGAGAGTGGTTGCTTGCCATTGTAGAAATATCTTCATGGGGGAAAAGCAACTCTGGTTTGTCCTTCTCTGAAGATAAATCCCTTGAGCTCAGTGACCTAAAGTTTATTATTTTAACTGATTAGTCATCATCCCCCCCTATGAGATAAATGAATGTATTCTGTAAGGACCATGTAAGGAAATTGTATTTGAATTTGTTTGCTTTTCTCCTCGAGTGTGGAAGGACTTCTTTCCCCTCTCAGAGGAGTGTTCTGTTGTTTCTACAGAGCAACATTTCACCATCTGAACACTTCACACCCCAAGCATCATACCCCAGTGCGTTGTCCTTTTCAACTGAGAAAAATACAGGTTTGCAGAGATATCTCTGAGTGGGGAAATGTCTCACTCCTGTGTTTCAAGGCTCACACATGATTACAGAGCAGTTACAGAGCAGTCAGCATTTCCTTTATGAAACCTTTTTTAGAAAGATGTGCAACTCAGCAAAAATATCTGTTCTGGACTGAAATGTGACATATAAATGGCATGCCTGGGAGCGCTGCTTCTTTTCCTTGTAAAAATGTTTCAGCCTGTGTTTGATGAATACACTTATGGCCTTTGTCAACTGCAGCTTTTTGCCACATTCTTGGGCTGTGATTTCACAAACTAGATTCTCCCCTTCTCTGTGAGAGATATCATTCTAACAACATCTCCCCCCATATTCTCCTCTCTGTTTCGTATCCTCACATACTGTGCCTTCCCTTCTCAGCTCTGCAGGGCATGGGACTCTACCTGTCCTGTAAAGAGATTACAGACAGAAGTTCCTTCATGCCTGTAAAAACACATTAAGGACAAACAGTATAAGATTTGGGGGAAGAAAAAAAAAAAAAAGCACTTGCTCCCTAGAGATTTATTACATCTGAATGCTGCGAAAATTTCGCATGCTTGAAAGATTTTTTAGCCCAAGGATGCAGGGAATCTGTTTTGGGATGAGGGGTTCAGAGTAACCATGGGTGGCTGCAGTACGTGGTGTAGTCCTCGAGAACAGAGGTCCTGGGCTTTCAGGGTGTCCCTTGCTGATGTCCAGAGAGAAAGAATTTAAAAAAAAAAAGGGGGGGTGGGAAAGGAAGAGTTGGGATTATGACTGGGTTGCAGAGATAAAGTAGGAATATGTATGCAGGAGACAAACAAATCTGTAAACAGAGCCAGGACCCCAGACCTGAAAACAGAACCTGAAATAGAAATTTCTTTTCCCTGGAAGCTGTTGCAAAACCAAGGAGCCAAAACCCTAGGAAATGGTATTATTAAAGGAGTCTTATATTTAATATAAATCAGCCTACTTATATTTTCTTTCAGTCCATTTCTGAGTGTACTTCACAGGTTTTCATAGAGCCATGCTGATTATGTTTACTGCAAACAGGTCTTGGGAATGTTTTTAAATCTTTGTGCTAAATAATTTGAGTCAGCCCCTAATTACATATTTTGTGCTGCCCATTGTGTGGTCCTTTGTGTCTTCATCCAAAGCAGTTGTTAATGGCTGCGGGCAGAAGAGAAACTGTGAAGTAGCTGATCCACTTCCCAAGACACTTTGTCCCTTCTTATGTTCCACACCAGAATGGTTTTCAAATGGCCCATTCTCACCAATCTGTCAAAATCCATTGGAAGATATGTGTGTTCCTGAATTTCTTCCATTTGGTATATATATGCCTCATAACTAATGCATGTGAGATCAGTGAAAGTCACAGAAAATCTCTGGTTAGGGTAGGATCAGCTGTCACCATGCTGAAGGTTTTCATTTTCTGCTAGCTATTTCTATGAAAGTCTCGATTAGATCATGTCATTGAACCCCTTGCTAAGGAAATACCTTGCTTTTCATTCTTCCAGGAACGGCCACTGAGTCAGAGATGCCCCATACCTGGAAACTATTACTGTTGTCAGTAACAAAGGGGGGATGGTAACCACAGTTTCAAGGCCTGAGCTGTTTTCCAGAGCAAGCAACTGGGAAGCTCTTAGTGACATCAGAGACTATTAGATAGGCCCTGAGGGTGGAATTCACCTCTGTGAAATGGGCTGCCTCTAAAGATACACCGTTTACATCCTTCCTCATGTCCTACTTGGAAAGTTTAAGAGGCATTTAAAAGGTTCCCAGGTGTAGACTTGCAGCTTTAGGAAGCAGCACTGATGCTGTCATTGGGCTCAACCCACAACAACCCCCATTCTGTTCTGCAATATAAAAATATCCCCCTTGCTTTCCCCTTTAGGATCTGAGGGAATGGTATTTCCTTGTTTTGTTAGAGGAGAATGAATAATCCTATGAACATAGAATGGAATAACTCATGGTGAACCTGGTGATTGGTTGGACTTGGTGATCTTAGAGGCCTTTTCCAACCCTAATGATTCCATGATTCTATGAACTCTGGCTTCCTATAGACAGTGTTGGTGTAAGCATCCTCTTGGATGGTGAGGAAGAGGTGGGATTTTATACAGAAAACCTAAGAGAGCAAAGCCAGGCTGCAGAGAGGGAAAAGCAGTGAAAGGGTGTCACTAGAGGGAGGTTATTGTGGCTACAGCTTGTCACCCTGATCACTGCTGTTGACAAGGTGGGGACTTGCAGACTCTTTGCACCATGAAGCACCTATTTGATACTGCTGGATTTTTTTCACTTCCATCAGTCCCAGAATCCCAGGATGGTTTGGCTTGGAAGGGACCTTAAAGATCGTCTAGTCCCGACCCCTCCTGCCATGGACAGGGACACCTTCCACTAGACCATGTTGCTCAAAGTCCCATCTACCCTGGCCATGAACACTTCTAGGGATAGGGCATTTTGTTCTTGACTTTTTCAAGAGAACTCTCATCCTTTTCAGTACTATGAGGGAAAATGCTGTCTGGACAGAGCTTACCTTAGTCCTGGTTCATTGCATTGGGTGAACAAGTCTTACTTTCATAACAAAGACAGGTGAGACAAATATGTCTTTAACTTGCTGCCCTCCACATTAATTCCTAAAGGTTCAAACATCATATGATGAGACTTAAGCATGCAACAGTGTCATTGTAAATATGACCGGATATTCATTGGTGAGATTACAGTCACCCCGTGGAGCCTCAGCTGTAGATGAAGCTCTGGTTGTGGGTGCTGCAAACCCATAGGCCCTGCTCTGGAAGTTCTAATCAACCTGTCCAGAGGAGGCCAACAAGTTGATTAGAGGAATGGAACATCTCTGCTATGAGGAAAGCCTGAGAGAATTGGGATTGTTCAAGCTGGAGAAGAGAAGGCTTTGGGGTGATCTCAAGAACCCAAAGGCAGCCAACAAGAAAAACTGAGAGAGGCTGTTTACAGGTATCTGGAATGAGAGGACAAGGGGAAATGGCTTCAAACTGAAAGAAGCCATTTAGATTGGATATTAGGAAGAAATATTTTTACTATGAGAGTGGTGAGGCACTGGCACAGGTTGTCCAGAGGAGTTGTGGCTGCCCCCTCCCTAGAAATAATTCCAAGACCAGACTGGTTATTGCTCTGGGAAGCCTGGTCTTGTGGAAGGTGTTCCTGTCCGTGGCAGGAAGTTGGGAATAAGAAGATCTTTAAGGTCCCTTCCAACCCAGGCCATTATATGAAATAAAACTGAATCCAAGTTGACATTTTTCACCACCATGCTACACTTTTGGGCAGGTACTGTTGGTAGACTACCATTGACCTTAACAGCCCTCTGTTTTGTTCCTCAGACCGGACCATCCTGGTGGATACACCTCTTCCCCCTCTGAGAGGACTCTACATCCTGGGGACCCTCGAGTTCCCCAGCAACTCCAGCAATGTCCTGAGTGCAGCCTGTGTTGTGGTGCTCGGAGGTGCTCTGAGAGTGGGTAAGTGAAGAACAGGTGTTTTTCTGGATGCCTGGGGTTTATTTCTGCTGTTGATAGGAAAAAAAGTGTGAAGATAGGCTGTAGAGTGTTGCTATAAACATGTTGTCCAACCTGATGCCCTGAAGATATCTGCACTGTGGACACCCAAAATCCACATTAAGCATGATGATTATCCGCTGGAGCTAATTGCCTATTAATAGCAGTACATTACAAAGACTGCAGTCTTCACCTCACTGCTGGTTTCAGTATGTCAGAGATTTTATCTGATATGTGTCAAAGTCTTCCCTACTACCTGGGGTTGCTTTATGAGACAGTAATTCCTCAGGGCAGGACCTACCCTGGTATTCAGGCAGTGCCTGGTGTCTGTGGGCATTAGTAGGACACTTTTTGTAACACAGAAATATTTAAAACCAACATAAAAAGGGTCATGGAGAACCCCCAGAATACCTGGAAATCATGCACTGTGGCATGAAACAACTGGATTCTGCACATTTGTGCCTCTCATCCCTCTGTGCAGATGAGCACCAGGACCCCAGAAAGGTACCACTCTGCCCCTTCTTCTTGCGGTTTTCAGAGTCCCCAAAGTCACTGGAGCTGTTCCACATTATTTGAAATGGACAGGATCAGTGTTTTTCCATTCAGAAGTAATTACTCACATAACTGCCTTTAAATATTAAGGTTCCCAAAGCCAGGCATCATATTTACTTACAGGAATCCTTAGGATGCTGGGATCACATTGTTGATCATTGCTTGACCTTTCTCAAGATTGGTTTCATGAACTTTAAAAAGAGAATTTGTTTGTGTAATCACCTCCTGAGGAAGTCTGCTCCAATATTTGTTTGTTGTTAATCTCAAGGGACTGTTTAGTTAATGCAGTGCTGGCCAAAAAAGTTATTTTGCTGTCTTGTGTTTTTCTTTGGAAAAAAAGGTTGGAAAGCTTAATCTGTGAGGTTAAAATATATATGTATACTTAAAAGAGTGTCAGTCATTTCTTACTTATGCTCCTTTGCACTTTAAATATGGGTTCATATTGGTTTTAAGAAAAAGCATGTGTTCATTGCTAAAAACACTTATTAAAAAACATTGAGGCACTTTGCTGCACAAACTCCCCTCCAGCACATCTGTGAGTAGTAATGATATTAAAAGCCGAGCAGGTATTTGCAGCTGTTGAGTCATAGTCCAGCATCTTTTGGAGAGCTATCCTTGTTTCAGCTGTTTCAGATGATGGTGGGTAGAGACTGCAAGATTCCCACATCTTACACTGGTTTCTCTGCTTGCCTGGAGAGCTGGGAGTTCATGCTCCTCTTTTTTTTTTTTTTTCCCCCTCCCTTCCTCTTTCTCTTCCCATGTGTTTGAGGCCTTAAGGTAACGTCTTGGAGCCCATCTGTCCAACCCTGCCTGTTCCATGCCTGAAGGAAGGGTTTTGAAGCCCATCTGTCCAACTCCACCACACCCTAAAGAAATCCTGACACAAAACAGATAATGAGACAGTTTAGTAAACAGATTTAATAGATGTGGACATCAGCATTCAGAGTTGCCTGAGCAGGATCTCAGGTTGGCTTCATGTGAGCCAAATCCCCAGGTCCTGCCTGTTGTGTAATTTCTCCATGCCCTGTTTTCAGTGTAGCAGTCTTGGACCATGTGCTGTTGCTTTTGATTCCATGGCCTGGGACAAAGGCTTTCTGATAGAGCCCAAGTGTGGTTGTTTGTTTTTCTTTTTTTTTTATTTAAACTGCTGGAGAACAATGATAAGTTTAGAAATACATCTTATTTGGACTTTAGTGTCTTCCAGAGCTCTTGGCATCTTAATCTGCTGGGAAAAATACAGAGTCAGAAGGTTAAATTAAGACTATAAGTATGTAGGAACTGAGTGGTGATGAGAAATATATAACAAATAAAAAAATCAGTTTAGCATTGGAATTTAAGGAACACAAGAACCTCACTAATATTATTGAAACAATAATGTACAGGAAAACTGGGATGAGAAAGTACAGTATTAGCTGGGAGATCACGATTCTTGCAACACTTTTGACCTTGCAGGTTCAATCATCACTTTCCTCTTTCATGTAATGATCACAATCCAGTGGGAATTATGACCAACAAAATCACTGGGACGTATGAGATGATTAAAGATAAAGAATTCTATCAGGTCCCTTGGAAAACCCAAGGTAAAATATGTGGATCTATCCCCACAGTAATTTCTCTGAGTGTTTCTAGGCTTTCGTTGTTCTTGGATCCAGAAAGATTTTCTGATTACTTCTACTCTAGTAGCCCTTTCTCTCAGATAAGGAACCTCTCTCTTTTACTTAAACCTTGAAAGTCTTTTATTTGATGGTGATGTTTGCAATAAAATTTTAACAATACCTTTTATTTGTATTTCCCTTTGTTATTATGCTGTAAGAACAAACAAACAAACAAAAACCTGGCTATTTTTCCAGTTTATAGAATGAGAATTTGAGATTCACAGAGATTAAGAGGTTTACTAAATATCATTAACACACCTGTCTCAGAATAAGATAAGCAATTTTTAGCTTGATATCTCGGAGTTGTTTTCCATTCTCAGCTAGGATGATTCCATTTATTTTAAATCATAGGCATTAAAACACAGATGATATGTGCAGAAGGTGCCCTGTTCCACTGCTGAACAAAGCCCTCAGCTCTCCATAAGGCTGAAGAAAACACTGAACTTCACTTGGCAAAAATTGATCTGCTGGACTCCACTGAACTGAGCTGCTCTTTGCTGGCAGGCTGGTTTTACTTTTTACAGTGGAACTTGCCAAGTAATTATCCAGATAGGATTGGACTTCTCTTTTTAGTTTCAACTTGTCACATTCTTTTTTTCACATATCTTGTGAAGGCTGCTTGTCAGTCATGTCACTCATTGTAGGCAAGAAGCCTAAGGTCATCATTAGCTCATGGCTTGATTGTCTGGAGATGAAACCCCACACAATTCTGATACCTCTTATCTTGCTTGTGGTTAGAGCTCTAAAACACTCACCCTCTTTTCTAGGGAGAACCCCCTTGTTGACTTCCCAAAGGGTAAATCACTGTATTTCATGAAATGGCAATGTGTTAGTACTGATTAATGCTCAGCATTATAACAACAATTAGGGCACCAGTGAGCTTCGCTAATTTACTGTCTTTTCCAACTTCTCTAGTTGTATGGGACCCACCTTCTTTAGCTGTGAGCAGAATCCCATCCTGCAGTCACATATCACCCCTTCACAGCTGCTGAATTTGTATGAAGATGGAACAGTGCTGCAGTGTTGAAAGCAATTTTTCATCTATGATAACAACAACAACAACAAAAAGAAGTTCTTTGAAAAGCTGATTCCATCATCTGAATCCCCTTAAATTTATCTCTCAGCCTCTGTGATTTTGGCTTTTACCCTTTCCAAGTCACTTGGTTTCTTTTAACTGATCCTATCAGCTAGGGAAGGGATTTGATTCACAAGTTTGAGACTCACAAATTTAGGTGTAACATGTGGACATCATCATGTGAGCTGCTGTTCCAGTAGAGATCTAACCAATATAGCCAGTGCAGCCCCTGCAGTCAGTGGGACTGTTTCAGACAGGTATCTAGAGCAAATCTCCTTTGGAAACATCTGCCTCGAGAAAACTAAATGTAGGCATGTGAATTCACCGAGAAATATGGTTCACTTGCCAAACTATAAGGATTTTCTATCATTTTGGGCACACTCAGATGTCCCATCACCAGAAGCCTCTAACTTATGCTTAAAAAGCCACTGTTCTTTCACTGATCCCTGTGGTATCCTCACAGAGAGGATTTGGAGGGCACTAGGACTCTTAAATGCCATCCTACGTGTCTCACTTCTTATTCCTTGGGCAGTCATTTCCCACTTCTGGATGCTACTTCCTACTCCACAGTTGTCTGTCTCTGAATTTTTCTGTTTATTAGGCAGCACTACTTGTAAGAGGCAACCAAGTGAGGTCTCCTTGCTTCCAGGATGCTTTTCCAGGGTTCTTTGCAGAATGCAGGCTTAACACCTAACCGAAGGAAGCTCCAGAGGAAGAACCAACAGTAGGTGACTATCCAGCTGTGCATTGATCATGAGTAAAAACTCGTCACACTTCCTGGTGACAGCATGCCACAGTTTTCAAACTAACTGGTTGCTTAGTGTCCAAGAAGTTTTGGATTCAGGAAACAGAGAGCTGGTACTGGAGACGGTCACAGAAAGATACTTGGCAAAGTCTGTTTTGGAGGGAGGAGATCTTATCTCAGAGATTTCCTTGCTCTTATGTACAACAGCTGTTTCAGAGTGTTATGTTGTGAAAAAAGAGAAGGCTAAAAGGGAGGAAACACCCACTGTTCTAGGGAAGAATTCAATGGGGTTTGCTATGAAAAAAAAAAAAAAACAAACAAAAAAAACACAACACCACACCAAAAATCTGTCAGGAAGAACATCTGGAATAAAACTGAATAACAAAAGCAATGGAAAACGCTTTTGAAACTCAACAGCAAACTAGATCCAGACTGCTTTCCAGAATAAGTGAAAATCTGGATAGAAAAAAGCACATTTCTATTTCTGTTCTCCTTTTTTTCCCAACATATTTTCACACAGTAGGTTTTCTCCTCTCCAGATATTAGACCTTATGAAGGATTAGGAACCAGCTGCAATCATTGTGCAAACAGATCTGTACTGCAGCACAGACAGCTGGACCTCACTCTTCAGGAAAGTATGGAATCAGTGGTGACTTTATCGACAGCACAGGTTGTTTCCTAACATAGGATTAGCATATATGTTTGTGGGGTTTTTTGCACTGTGTGGTACAACTGGGAGAACACATGTTTGAGGAAGGCTTGGAACTGTCTTTAGTGCCTCCTGACCTTTTCTGCAGGTCTCATTAGACATTTCCACCAGCTTCTGGTAATTTCCACATTGCAATTACCTATCTTCTGGTTCTCTGCCGGCAGTGCCTTATTATCTCACCTTCTGATGAGCAACCACGTTGCTCATCAAATTGCTGAGCCTTCCAATTACAGTAGGATATGAAGTGGGATACATCCCTTTGCATCTCAAGTGCAGGGTGGGTAATTCAACAGTTTGATGTGGTCTTACGTAGGACTCATTCACTACAGCAAAGTGGGGCAGGAAACCTGAAGTTTTTACATCCAAAGTTCAAAGATGGACACTTAAACCCCAGATCCTCCACTGATGTGTTGTTTCACATGCCAGTTACTTTGTAAGGTGATGGGACTTACCCAGCACCGGTGATTTAATTATTTTGGATTTATTATTCTGGATCTCCCTATGAGTAAACTGACATAGCCGCTGTTTCCATATCCTCATTTTCATGAGCCGTTCTGCAGGGCTGGATTTAGACTAAGCCAAAATGTGTATCTGAGACCTTACTCAGCTTTTCCCTTTGATTTCTTTGTTCTCCATCCATCCACAGTGAGATCAAGACCTGTTGCCTTATTATTTTGAACGCCACAGAATCACGGAATGATTAAGTTTGGAAGGGACAATTGCAGGTCATCTGACCCAACCTCCCTACTCAAGCAGGGTCACCTATAGCATTCTTCACTTTCTTTCCTGATTCTTCACTTTCAATTTATTTCTGATTTACTGTCCCATCTCTTTATTTTTCTTTTCTTTCTCTCCCCCATTTGTGTCAGCCTCTCTGCTTGCCTTCAGTATCTTCACACTACTCTGGGTGACTAATAAAATGTCACATGCCACAGGGCTTGCAAGACCAGACCTGTTTGATTCCATGTCCCCATTCCAGTCACTCAGCCTGTAAATTAGTGTGTGCCATCTTTGTGCTGTACCAGTGTAGTTTGTTAATCACAAAGTTTTGTGCTACTAAGCCAAGTGCCTTGGAGAAGCCAATTAAACTATATCAAAGCTATTATCTTTATCAACTAAACCTGTAATCTCATTAGAAGGCGATAACAAGGAAGTTTCACAGGCCTTTTTTTCTATAAAAGCAGGTTGATTGGCATTAATTATATCATCCACCTTTAATGATTTATTAATGGTGCTCAGTGTTGGACATTCCATTTTTATTTATTTTTCCCCTAGAATCAGTGTCAAGTTGACAGGCCTGTAATTACCTGGGGCTCTTACTTTTATCTTTGTTTGAAATATTGGCACAATATTAGCTTTCTTCAAGGGCTCTGAGACATCAAGAGTGATCCCAAACTTACTGAAGAGTCCTCTTTAATAGTCCAATGAGTTTCTGGGTAAACTCTTCAGTAGCACTCACATTCAAGTCACTGAAATCCATTCATTTAAAACCATGGAACTATTAATGACAATAAGCAAGTATTAGGACTATTTTTGCTCTAAATATACTTAAGTCTAATTTTTCTACTAATGGGCACCTCCTTTGTTCTTTTGTGTCATTTACCATTTACAGTTTCCTGAAACTAAAACATTTCTGTGAATATTATCTTCCTTTTTATTTTCCTCTTTTTTTTTTTTTTCCTCATTCTGATTGTATTGTGGGTTGATGTGCTTATTTTTTCAACAAGGGTAAAATTCCTTAACATATTGTGCTTTTTTGGACTAAAAAAAGAAAAAAATTAGTTAAATGTAGATGTGATTCTTTTAAGGGAGTGATAACTTCCAGTCCAGTCCTATAGAACTCTCATTTTCAATCCTTTATAGGTGATTGTTAAGTCTGGAAGCCTATTTAAAAATGGTTTTAAAATTGAGCTGAGAATTGGATATATTACATAGCTGGTTTTAACCAACTTAACTAGAATGGTAAATGCTTTGTAAGCAGGAATGAAATAATAAAACCAATAAACCCATCAACAGCAATTTATAATTATAATTAATATTAATCCCCTTTAAGGGAACATAGTCATAATTAGGAAATTGTGAGTAACGTGGTAAGATTAACATAGAGGTCTCCAAACATTTTGGTTGAGCCTTTTTTTTGGTTTCAGTGTAACTAATACTTTATCTCAGGGGGAGTGGGTGACCCGAGGATTGGCAAAGGTATGCTCAGTATGAATGTTTGAAATCCCAACTTGCTGTGAGGGTGAAGCAGGAAAACAATCACCCTGCATACAAAAATAGACACAAATGTCTCTATAGCTCTGCTGCTGCTCTAGGTGGGTATTTGTTTAACCTTGTGCATCAGAGGCCAAAGCGTGTATCACTTAGTTCTGTTTCGTGAAAGCATATTTGGATACAGACCAATTCCCAATTTTCTCCTCTTCACACCACAGTTTTGGGAGTTTAAACAAGAAAGTCAAAGATGGTTTGGGTGGATGATGGACATTGTAAGATAATCCCCTCCATGACCCCAGAGAAACACGAGCTCACTGGTGTGAGATATATTAGATGGGGAGCATGCAAGTCTTGTACTCTTTGCCTTTTACCCATTTAAAAGCTGCACAGAGAATTTAAATATTCTCAGATATCACTCAGGCGCTGGTGGGGGAACAATGAATTGTTTTATTGATTTCACTTAAATAAAAAAAAAATGCTCTTAAAGCAAAGTGTTTCTTTAGGATATAAAATCGACTCTCTTTTCCAAACTAGTAATTTTTAAATATTAAAAGAACATGACAGGCCAGCTAATTTTGTACAGAGATGTATATATTTTTTAGTTCTACATCTGCTGCAGTTTTCTGTTGCATAATTGATTTAATCTCTAATTTTAAAGGAACGCTGAACTCCTTTACTGGACTCCGCATACATTTCTCCAGGGCAAAAACTGTCCTACTTTTTCCTCCTTAGTATCTGTTTAGTGCTGGGCCATTTTCTTCTGAAACTGTAAACTACCCTTGGAGAAATAAATGAAGGCAAAGTTGGAATGCACTTTACTGTATGGAATTATCACCACCCCACACACCAAAACTCTTGGGCATTTTCTTCTCCCCTATTTTTTTCCCTCAATCCTTCCATTGGTCTGGGAAAGACTATTTTTCCCATCCTTGCTGCACAAATTACCTGGGAACTGGTGAAATTGTAGAGGAGCAAAAAGGCAAAAATGGGCTGAGAAGGGAAACGCTAATTCAGCCATTTAGATGTTGGTTGAAAATTGGATTTACACACATTTCCCCCTTGGTTCCCCCATTTTCAGCACTACAAAAACTATTGATACCTCTGTGGTGGGTTGATGCTGTTCTGTCTTGATTGCAGGTTCTGTGCAACAGCCCCTGGAAAGGGATTTAAAGCTGCTGGTCCTTCTTCGGGCATCTGAAGGGATTTACTGTGATCGTCTGGAGGGTGTAAATGTCCACCCAGGGAATATTGGTATGAAACATGAATTCCCCTTTCTGTAGGAAGCTTATCTTAGCCAGAATAGCCAAATCTGCCACTGTTGAGCCTGTTTCTATGTTGCACAGGAAAACATCTAACAAAAGGACACACATTTTTTTAAGCTATAATTTAATATTCTCAGACATGATATATATAGGAAAAGTTTCTATATTTTGAATTTTTGCTCTGGTTTTGGATCCTTTCCCCCCCCCTCAAAAACAAAAAAATAATTAAAAAAAGGATTTTTCACAGACGAGAAAGACTAATAATAGCTGAGTAATTTTTTATATCTTTCATGCCTGCAGTTTTTATTTAATTTGTTTACTTAGATAGTTATTTATTTTTACTGGTGACTACCATTGCCTGCAATTCTAATTTGAGTCAATGAGACTCCTGTGATACAACCCCCTTTCTTGCCTGTAAATGTGATGGTCATTTTAGTTTATTAATGATTTGTTGCTAGTTCACTTTTTATTTCGAGTGGGGGCTGTGTGCTGTTCTTAAACTTTTCACAAAATATAGAAATATAATTTAATATATATCTAGTTATTGCTTCAGTTCTTCTCAAGTCTCTCTTTCCCTTAATCTTTGAACTTCTCCTTCTGCTTTTTTCCAGGGGTTTATGGACAGGTGCAAATTTATAGTGCTTATCCTAAGATGCCTTGGACACATCTGGGAACTAATGTTGCTCCTGGCAATGAAAGGTGGTGTTTTGCCCCAAAATGCTTTCAAATAATAAGTTTTGGCTCGTGTTATTATGACTTGTGTTAATGTTCCTATGAGTTGTACTATTCTTTTCATTGTGATGGGCTCTGTTTAAACTAAGTCTAAATAGAAAAAGAAAAACCATGTTACATCTTGCAAGAAAATTGTGCCATGATGGGTAGGTTGAAACTAGATGATCTTTAAGATTTTTCCAACACAGTTTAATTTTAATTCTAAAGAAATCAAAATTCTAAAGATGAATGAAGCTGACATTTCCTTCCTTCCTTCCTTCCTTCCTTCCTTCCTTCCTTCCTTCCTTCCTTCCTTCCTCCCTCCCTCCCTCCCTTCCTCCCTCTGCCTTTCTTTTTATAAGAGATTCAGTCTAAAGTGACCAATATCTTGAGGATTGTTATGTTAATTTTGTTTTGAGACCTACATTAAAATCTCATCTCTGGATTGAACAAAACTGAGATATGAACATTGATCTTCTGCATCTTAGATCAATCCTTTACCAGGTGGTTTCTGGAGTGCACATCTTAATTTCTCCTCTTAGAGTTAATTTTTTTTTTTTTTTTTTTGTATATTTAATTAATGTCAGTTGGCTGATAGAATGTAAGGCTACCTGTACAGCCTGTAGAGCAAGGTTTTTGTCTGGGCTCAGAGCCTCCCAAGGTATAGACACATTTTCACTTAAGCTTGAATAAAATAGCTTTGAAATACTGCATTCTCTGTCTCCTGATGCTGCCCATCCATAAACTTCTACAGCCCCTGCTGCAGACTCATCTTCATCATCACTTACTCATGAATTCAGTGTGAAGGCTTGGCCAAAATCATCACCTGAGGCAAGTTAAGTGGAGTCACCACAGATACTTATTAGGTGAATAGTTGAGAAGTTATATGCAGAAGCATCTCTCCTTCTCATTGACCATTGGGTAGGGTGGCACCTATGAAGTTGTCCCTGGAGCTGTCACTCCTGATTCCCTGTTGCACAAAACTCTTATTACCTTTTGCTGTAATTCTTCCAACTGCTTCATTTTAAACTGAGATATGGATATTCAAAAAGAGAAAATCTGTTAGGTAGGCCTTACAAAGCCTCATTGGAAGAGTTCCCATCTGGGCAGCAGTGAAATATCAGCATTTAGGGAAGGAACTATTTGGAAAATGACTGTAGAGTTGGGCAGTGGAAGCACAAAGAGCTCACCAGTAGTATTCATCTGTTGTTAGCTCTGACTCAGTTGTGTGTTTAGTGTAGATTAATTGCTTAGGATTGCTGTATAGCTGATGCATTGCTGATTCAAACCATGCAATGTTACAATCACCCTCTGGAAATTCTTCTTTTTCCCTGACTAAGGGGAGAGTTCAGAGGAAGCAGATTGAAGTCTGCCAGTTAAACACTGAAATGGATCCAGGCTGGACTTGGGCTGCTGCCCAGAGCTTTTATATGAAATATCATGAGCTGCTAAGATACAAGTGTTTGGAGCTCATTCATACACTCTAAATACAGCACAAAGAGTTGTTTCAATTCCTGAAGTAAAAGAAAAAAAGCTATTTATCATTAAAAGTCTACTGATAGCCAGCTAAGAATTAATGTGGTTACATACAGGAAACAGGCAAGTCAGTGCTAGAACATAAAAGCTGAAAGAACATGAAAGCTGGAGGAAGTGGCTTTTTATTGAAGGAGAGAAGCTGCTGTATATAATTTTCCAGCATGAATCAGCACTTGAGTTAGGCAAGGAGTTATGCTTTCAAAAAGAAGGAGAAAAAAAAATCACTTTTTTTACTGAAATGAGTATTTCAATAGATCTAAACCTTATATTTCTTGTTTCTTGCAAGAACCACACATCTCTTGCAAAACATATTTTCTTTTGCTTACCTCTTATTAAACTTCTTTGAAATGCAAGAGTCAGAGGAGTTACACTTGGTTCCACAAGATATAAATTATTATTGGAGTGTGTGCCTGGGACTGGATTTAAGATTCAGCTTCTAGTATGGGTTGCATGTGAACTGTTAAAAATCCCAAATACATGCCACAATTATTTTTACTTTGTGTGGTTTTGCTTCCTCTCTGCCAGTGCATTTATCCTTGAACAGTGCACAGTTCTCTGTCACCTTGGCCCTTTCCTGCTATTTCAGAAGATATCCAGTGCTTCCTCTAAACAATAAAGGAAACCTAAATTTTGATGGATTTCTCCTCTGAATGCTCGCAGGTGCCAAAAACTGGAAGTACTCACCTGGAGCCTGCCCATCTTTAAAAGAAATGGTGGAAAGAGATTCTGGAAAAACTTAGCAACATCCCCTTAGGACTTTTCTTTCTCTCTGCTCTTGTGTCACTCTTGACTGCATGTGAGGCATTCTCTGAGTTCACTGACTCCTCTGAATTCAGTCAGATTCTGAATCCTCAGAATTTTCCCAACAATTACCTGAGGAGTTTAGATCATTATCTAGCCAGCAGACAACCTGTAATAGGACAAAGGGTTTATAAAATATGGATAAACACTGATCACTACCCATTTTGCTTTCACTAAATGCTTTTATTTTTTTTTTTTGTGTGAGTTTAAAAATCCCCTGAACTATAAATAGAATACAAAGGGGGATCTTCAGTTCAAGTTTAAAATAGATACATGTAAGTGTCTGTGCAATGTTTAAAAAGGCACTTCAGCTCCCAATAGAGCCAGCAAAGTTCTGAGTGCTGGGGCCTAGAAGAGATTCAACTACCAAGGGCAGAATTCAGATACCTAAAAAGAGGTTTTGGGCCTATGTGAGGTGTCTTTGGGATCATATGAGAAGCCTTTGAGTCCCCTCCATGGCTTGCATCTGTGTCTCCAGGAATGTTCCATGAACAAGTCCTACCAGCTGAAGTCACAGATATCCTGGAACATCTCAGATAGCAAGAGGTGCTGTTTAGGGAATCAAAACTTGCTCAGTGTGCCCAATTCAGAGAGCTGATTTCCTTCCACTCACTCCTGACTCCAGTGGAGGCTTCAATGCCAAGTGCACACACACACACACACAACCCTACACGTGACTGTTGTCTAAATCCAAAGCTGACTTAAGCTCTGTAGACTACTGATGGCACCAAAAGTGGCCTGATATGCCTTTGAAAGGCAAGTGGAGCCCTGCAACTCTGTGCTGGAGCTGTACATGTTGTTAATCAGTGGTGTGAAATAGATGCTTCAGGATTAATTTCCTCCCACGTATCTCAGACATCTGTTTTTGCAGAAAGCCCTGAAGGGGCTTTTTCCTACAGCATAGCCTGGGGATTTTTTATTTTCTGAGATCTGCCTGGGCAAAACTTGTTCATTTTTTTGGAAATCTGTGAGCATAACTCTCGTAATGACATTAAGTTTTTATCTTGGCCCTACAGGATTTTCGTGGAGGATGAAGTAGATTGGGATAATGGTGGAGATATTGTGATCAGCTCTTCCTCCTATGAAGCCCACCAAGCTGAATTAGTCACAGTTAAAGAAGTCCATGGTCATAGTATAAGAATTCACGAACACCTTCTCCACAGGCACATTGGTAAGGAATTTTAATTTCCATTTGAATTTTCTTCTGAAACATTGACTTTCCATTTCATATCTTACCAAGGTCAATTCTACTTCCTTGAGGTTTCTTCATTTCTTTCTCCACGTCATTTTTTTTTCTTACTGTTTCTTACCGAAAACATGATGTTCAAGATTGCACAGAGTAGCTGATTCTAACATGAATTTCTGTGAATAGAATTAATTGAATGCTGAATCATTTGGGAAACTTTTCTGGTGCTTCAAGTTAGAGCTGGTTAACAGAGAGATAAAGTAAATGAAATTGTAAAGGAAAAAGAAATGGAAGGGTTTAGGCCTTTTGCACAATGGTCTGAAAAATTATTTCAAAAAACCCGTTTTTCAAATTTCAAAATAATTAGATTCATGGGGTTTCAAGCACAAAAAATATATCAATTCCATGGCATGAAACCAATGTACTTTTAACCTAGTATGTAAATAAACATAACATCTGTATATAACTCTATTTCCTGTATAGTCTGCATGGGGCCTATATTTATGTGGAAAAAGGGATGCAGTGTTGATAATGTATTTACTTTTATTTCAACCAATAAAGTAAATTTATTACCATCAATTTAACAAAAGCAAAAGCATTTTATTAAGAGGTCAAATTCTAGAACTCCAAAACTAGGATTTTTCCTGTTTACAGGTCAAATTCTAGAGTTCCAAGACCAGAATTTTTCCTGTGTGTAGCAATATTTTTTCAAATTGATTTTTATTCAAGCTTGTAGGACCAGAAATTAGGATGATGGATAAAAAAGTTCAGAAATATCATGTTTAAAATTCCTGGTGCTTTAATGGCTGTGCCAGTAATCACAGCTTCGCTTGGAACTGAGCCCTGTTCTGCAATTATCCACAGGGTTAATCAATAGTAGCCTCCATGGCACAGTTTTTTACGACAATTGCATTTAAAAAAAAAAAAAAGCAGTTCTAAAGACATCTAGACTCTATTTCCATTAGTTTATGCATGGCCTTTCCTTTTTTTTTTTTTTTCCAGGTAGGGACAAAACCTGCCAGTCAGTCTCGTGGCCAGAGAATTGTTCTTAATCTATTTCCTTAGCTAATGTAGATATAATAAGTGTATCACGGGGTGAAATTGTTGCATGCACATTGAACAATGCAGCAGTTGTTTGATATAGATAAAAAATTATGACTGAGGGGAGAATGATGAGTAATGTAAATAGTGGGATTCACCTGGGCAAATGGAGATACCCACAATAAATATTCACACATGAGTTAGTCACTCTCAGCTCCCTTGATGATTAAGCAGAGAAATACATAAAATACATCCTTCTCACTTGTATATCATCTGCCCCTAAAGCAGGTGTATAAAATACACAACAATTTCCACTTGAGAATTGCCTTTTGCTCTTCACTGTGCAAAAAACCAGTCAGGATAACTAAATCATATCTGCAGATGTCTAAAGTCACACGAGATTAATTCAAACCAGATAGCTCCATAAACTTGTGCAAAAGTCTCATTTAGAAAGGTGTTGAAAAAAAGTCTTTGGAAAAACTTTTAGAAAACACACACAAGCAAGTAGCTTTTTAGCCCTGGCATTATTCTGATCCTAAGGAGAATTCATGGAGATCAACTCTGCAGTGGGCTAAAGAGTAACTCCAGCACACAGAGATTTGAAAAAAATGAAGTGTGAACCTGTTCATTGGTTTGGCACCTGCACACCGCAGGGAAAAGGTTTAGCACCTTCTTTTTCTAAAAATGATATATCTGGGTAAAATATAAGCACAGGGTGAATATTTGATGGGCAGGTGGCCTTTCTGGTTTTGTGTGGCTGCACGTAGGTTGTGCTGGAGGAAAAACACACCTGAATGTCAGTGCAGATTCTGCAGAGGAGCTGTTCATGAGCTGTCAGGCTTTATGTCCCTCAAAGCTCTGGTTTATAGGTATGATAGACACTTATCACATTTTCTCTCCCAACAATCCCCAGGGCGTTCCCATGACACGGAAGACGGGAGACGCATCCCTTTGGCTGCGGAGGTTGGACTCCTAACACGGAATGTACAGATCGAGTCGGATGTGCCTTGTGCTGGGAGGATGGTGGTGGGACATTTCACAGGCTCCAGTGGGACAGAGTTTGAAGGTAGTGGAGATTCACTTGTCCTGATCAACCAGACTGTCCAATTCTGCCCAAGAAAGTGCAGTGCAATAACATGTGCTCTGCAATTCTAAGCAAACAGTTACTGTTAGCAAGTATGAGACAGTTACTTTTAGCAATTATGAAACTAATACTAAATATTACGACATATTATATTTCACAATATATAAAATATAATATTATACACAATATTCTCTATATTATTATATATTACTCGTATAATAATATGTAATAACATACTAAATATAAACTAGTAGCACTAATAACTCATAAATATGGAATATGTTTTAGGAGGGGCTGCTCTGTGCTTTGTTGGGTTTTACTAGGGCTTTGTATGTATTTATGAACAATTACCAATTAATACAGCACACTGACAAAGTGTCTGTTACCGTAGGTCTGAGTGCTGTTAAAATGCTTGCCCTTCTAACCAGTTCTTAGGTAGCTTTTTAAGCTTTTATGTCACGATGTTCAATCTCATTGCAGGTGTCCTTCAGCTTTTAAATACTGAATTTTTGAACTTTGGGCCCCCTCAGCTTTCTGCCATTGAATTCAGGAATACATCCCAACAGTCCTCGGTGGTGTCATCCAGCATTAATGGCAGCTGTGGAACTGGCATTAAAGCAGTCATGAGCAACGGGATCTTGTTGCAGGACAACATGGTGTTCAACACAGTTGGACCTGGCATAGATTTGGAAGGGAAGAATCACTCTCTCATCAGGAACCTTGTTATTCTGAGCAGGCAGCCAGCAGGTTCATTGCACTGGGTTGCTGGAATCAAGGTGAACCTTGCCATTGGTGCCTCCCTCTGCGGCAACGCTGTGGCAGGTTCTGAGAGAATCGGCTTCCATATCAGGGGCCAAGAGTGTTCACTAGATGGAGGATACTGTAGTGAAAATGTGGCACATTCAAATCTCCACGGTGTTCATCTGTACCAGGAAGATGGATTTCAGACCTGCACTAGAATCACAGGTTTTCTATCCTATAAGAATTATGACTATGGTGTCATGTTCCACCTTGGAAGCAGCGTGATCATGGAAAACACGGTGCTGGTGGACAACACCGTGGGCCTCATGCCAGTGGTGCACTGTCTCTCTGCCAAGCAGTGCCACATGGGGAGAAGATTCATAGAACTTAGAAAGTCAGTGTTTGTTGCCACAAGCTCAACTTTTGACTGCCTCAGAGACAGGATCCAGCCTCGCTCAGCTGACCCAACAGCCAAGGATCGAGCCCCACACTCCCCTCTGAGAGGCCGTGTTGGGATTTTGTGGCCTACGTTTACCACTGTTCCCAGCCGAAGGCCAGAGAACCCCTGGCACAAAGCTGGCCATTGTCCAAAAGTCCTGGGACTCATGAGGATGAAAGGTTGGTGTTACGTGTCCACTGGCCAGGCTATTCTGTTTTTCTTCCCATTTTTCCCGTTGAAATTGTAAAAAAAAAAAATATCATTGGGTATTTTTCACTTTCTGAATCTACTGCAGTGAAATTGCTGCCCCGAGAAGCTGTGGTTGCCCCATCTCTGGAAGTCTTCAAGGCCAGGCTGGATGGGGCTTGGAGCAACCTGGGATAATGGAAGGTGTCGCTGCCCATGGCAGGGGGGGAGAAACGAGATGAGTTTTAAGGTCCCTTTCAACCTAAACCATTCTGTGATTCTATGATTCTATGATAATTACATCCAGCTGTAATGTATATATTTTAACCTCAAACATACCTGTGTTCTGTGCTGTTTTTCCAATTGATTCATCTCTGATCTACAGTTACCTCTATCTAAATAAAGATATCAAGTCTAGGAAGTGAATATCACACTTCATATAGAATTTTCATAGAACATAATAACTACAGCTGCACAGGAACTGTTGTGACCTTTATCGATATAAGGGACTGCACAAGAGGTTGAAAGTCAGTTATATATCCTGTATCTTCTTTTCTAGTGAATTTTCAGTCCCCAGAGTAATATTTAAAAATAGCAAGATTTAGTTAGCTGGTTACAGTGGTGAGATCTAAAGACATCACTGCTTTTCATATCTTTATTCCTCACTGCTACTTATTTTTGCAAGAAAATTCATTATCCTTTTTTTACTGAAGAATAAGAAAGATAGAGAGAGACAGAGGTGCTCAGAGTCCCACAGAAAACTGATGGCCAAACATGGATTTTGTAGCTGCACAAGAGTTCAGGGCCAGAGCCAAGCAGGTTTCATCAGACCCAGCTCATCTTATCTTAAACTCTGGCAAGTGGATAAACCATCCAAGGCAGGTTGTCATTAAAGTAGCTCTTACTGGTTCAAATGAAAATGTAATAACCATTCTTGATTTTTTTTTCTTTGTCAGTTACTATTTTCTTTGATTTCATTTCCTACGGGCATGACTTGGTTTGTGTCAGCTTAAGATATAACTTGACTATGGAACACTCTAAAGACAACTGAAGATCTATGAACAATTCTATTAGTCTGGTTTAAAAATAACTTTTACAGATATACATGGGAGCAATTTAACATAGATAACATCATGGAAAAAAACCCCTTTCCTATCTCTAGTTCTGACACTCTTTTAACCAGTTTTTCTTGCTTGATCTTCTCTTAATCCCTGGCAGAAGTCACCTTTACTGGTTTTACAAAGAGCTGCTATAGTGAAGACAGGGATGTTTGCATCATGTCCAATGCTGATCATTTAGGCATCATGCCTCTCATCACAGCACAGACATCAAGGATGTTACATGTCAGTGAGAAGGACAAGTTCTACTTTCATCCAACAAGGTAATAGGCTTCATTCTAAACTATCTTTTTCAATAGTTTGAACCTAAAAACGCACATAGTCTTGGAATTACCATCCCCTCATCTCTGCTCTTGTACTGCTCCTGTCAGAGAAAAATGAGCGAGCTTGGGCATCAAACAAACATGCACAGAAAAACCTAAGTCCAGAAAAAAGAGAAATGGGGAAAAAACCAAAAACTAAACACAAATTTAGTTTATGGCAATCTTTTAAAATGTGAGGTTCATATTCCATCAAGGTGCATCTCCAGACCAACCCTCTTGAATTTCCTCTTTTCCTGACATTTGTATAGCAAAACAAGCCTCACATATCCCATTTCTTAAACCTCCATCCTGAGAATCTCTGACTTGGCCTCAGGCTGCAGAAAATGTCAGGACCCCCAGCAAAAAACCCTGAGACAGGGAATGTCCTTTTGGTCAGGGAAGCAGAGCTTGATTTGTGCCTGCAGATCACATCAGAAATGTTGATCAGCACTAGGCAGGCTGTGAGATGTCAAATGATTGCCAGAACTGCTCCTGCCCAGGGAGAATACTGTCTGTGTGTGGAGGAGTGTGGAGGAGGGAGGGGAGAGCTTCCTCTGTAACCTTAAGTCACTGCTGGTTGCAGTGGTTTAAACATACTCCATCCCATGGAAACCACATGCCTATTTATTTATTACGATCACCCAACACAATACAGAGGCTGTGTCAGGAAAGCCTTGAAGTAGCAAAAAATTTCCAGCGTGGACTCCAGTTGCCAGTCAAAAATAATTGGAGGTGTCCCACACTGCTATGTTTAGAGCCCCTCCAGCCTTCTGCCAGAATTTTTTACTTTATTCTATATTTTTACTTTTTGCTCTGGGCATTAGTTTGCGTGTAGATTTCTGAGCCCTGTCCAGCTTGTCAGCTCCCGTTATGTTCCACTCTCGTATCCATCCCACAATATTATGCTATTAGTGAGCTGCTGAATCCAGTGCAAGAGCTGGTGGTTTTTTGAACGTGATGAATGCACATGGATTACTGAATGCCTCCTTAGTAGTCTGCTGAACCTCTGAGGGTGATTACATCTCTCAGTGCTCCTCGCGCAATATCTGCATGTATTTATTTATCCCACCTTTGCAACTGCTGAGCTTGAACCAGGCTGTGGCTGCAGTTGTTCTGCTTCAGCATCCTGAAGGGATACCTTGATGGATATGTCCTGTCAAAGAGAAGGTGAGCATTGCCTTGGAGCAGGAGAGGAAATAGAAACATCAGGGAATACAGCAAATCCGTTACGTATTTGTCTTGTCTCATTGGTAGACCTAACCAGCAGAAATGCTGGAGCTTCTGAGGGATGGTCAAGAACTGAACCAGCTGTTCAGAGGAGCTGTGTTTGTTCTCCACCTCTTCTGAGCTGGGTTGACTGGGGGAGTTGGCCTTTTTGTTCCTCTGCCCTTACTGAAAATCTCTGCCTATATCTCTTGGCTGCATTCAAGGCACCAGTAATTGGGTTTTCCCCAACCCAAGACCAAGAAATCCTAAATTTTTTTCAAGTTTTAATGTGAATCCCTGCAGCAAGCTGAAAATGTTTCCAAGGACTTTACTAATTTACAAGTCATTGTATCTTATTGAATTCTGTCATGGGAGTGAGATGTTCAGTTGACTAGCTCCTTTAAGCTGTGTTAAACCTTTAGACAAAATGCAGTTAAATGCACTTTGGATTCTCAATATGTGATTCAATTCACTACACTTCAGTGATCCAAAAATTAGGCATGTAATACAAACAAGACACTAATCTCCTTCTATAATCAATATAGACCCGTATTTAGGAGATGATTCATCTCAGCTGTCCTATCTATATGTCAGGTGAGGTGAGTTACCCTCAATAAACCTCTCCCATTGCAGGTACTTCCCTGTGTGGAAACCAGTCTTTAATGACCTAGAAATTTATAGGCTTTTCTGGCTGTTTCAAGCCATTCAAAATAACATTACCTTTCTTACCCATCAGTGTACAAACCTCTGAAGACACCACGTTCCCTGAAAAGAAATGCAAAGGCTCAAGGAAGGCCCTTTTCAAGGATTTGGATGGAAGTGTCCTGGACCTGGAACCACCTGTTTCCGTGTTCCCAGAGTCAGAATTTGAATGGACGCAGTTCTACTCACAAGCTGGTGAGTGAACTGTGCTGACTGGAGTATTTGCAAAGTCAGGCAGACATTTGACCCATGAGATGTGACTTATCCCAGGCTTTCACTGAGATCTACAGCTGAGGCTGAGATGGTGGTAGTCCCAGCTTGTGTGATTCCTTTCCAGGATGGGTGTTGTGAATTACAGTATGGAAGTCTGGGATGACTCAGGCGTGCAGCTCTGTGTCCACCAGTGCCTTCTTGCAGAATCATGTCACTGGGAATCCTCAGCCCCTTTAGGGTTTAATTTGTTAGATTAGGTGTTAGACAGAATTTATTCCCTGTGAGGGTAGTGAAGTTTTGGCACAGGTTACCCAAAAAGCTGTGTGGCTGCCCTATCCCTGGAAGTGTTCAAGACTAGGTTGGAACCTGGTTTAGTGGAAGGTGTCCCTGCCCATGGTAGGGGGGGTGGAACGAGATGAGTTTTAAGGTCCCTTCTAACCCAAACCATTCCATGATTCGATGATTCCACCTGCCCCTTGCAAAATCCTCTGAGAGCACTCAGGGACATATGCCATGTAAATGCTACGTTACTGCAAAATAATACCAATAACTGGCCCAGCAAGGGTTTCCATCCATATCCCACTGAGGAGATAATCAAGCTGAAAACCCAATCCAGAAGTTTAAAGACCCCTCTCTCCGGTTTAAAAAGGCCCACTCTGCTCAGTAACCACATTCTGAAGGTTCACACAGCAAGGCTCCATTCTCATCCTGATTAAAACTCTGCTCCCTGATCCCAAATAAACTCTTTAATTACAATTAAAGTTTCCTGTGCCTGCTGCTCATGGCTGCCATTTTGCTGAAGAGGAGCATCGTTTGTGACTCCGGCGGTATGGGAGGCGGATGGAAGTGACTAATTAATCCTGTTTCCCTTCCCACTCTAAAACTGATTAAACACTGGAAGAACTTTAATCTTTAAATAAAATGTCGGATGTGCAAGGTTTTTCCTCCAAGGATCCTGCTCTAGCTGGCTGCTTACAAGGGTTGATTAATGTGTTGTCTAGATGCAAACACTGATTTTTACTGTACCTGTTCCACCTTAATTATGAATTACATGCAAGCACTAATGCCCTAGCACTATTACCACTTAGCACCTGCATATTAATGCATACATTTACATACAGAACCTGGATTTTATTCAGACTCCCACCATTTTTAGCATACCTTGGCACACAGTCACAGGCGTGTGAGGAATCCCCACCATTTAAAATGCACTGACAATGCAACCTGCACTCCATAGGGTTTATCTCCTTGTGTAATGGAGGCAGCAGCATATGGTAAATGCCTCCTGCCTCTGAGGCTATAACGAAATTGCTGTGTTTTCTACTTGCTGCCCAAATCTGAATGGTGATTTTGTACCCCCCTCCCTTCACAACTGTGTGTTAAATTCCTCTGTGTTTCTCATTCTGACCCGAGGTTCCTTTCATCTTGAGGCTGACATTTGGAAAGGCACAGCTTGATGAGAAGGTGAATTCATGGTCGTCTTCTTCCCTTCTCTACGCCCTCCTCCTCCTCCTTGAAAGTTGTAGCACTGAGAAAAACAGGCCCCCCCCACACTAGACAAATCTGAGAAAAAGCTCAGCTTTCCTGCTCCCTCTGGTCTTCTGCCAGCAGGACCAGGGAAATGGTCATCCTCCTGTGCTCAGCGCTGGTGAGGCCGCTCCTCAAGTCCTGTGTTCAATTTTGGGCCACTCACTAAAAGACATTGAGGCGCTGGAGTGTGTCCAGAGAAGGGCAACGGAGCTGGGGAAGGGTTTGGAACATAAGTCCTATGATAAGCAGCTGAGGGAGATGGGTTTCTTCAGTCTGGAGAAAGGGAGGCTCAGGAGAAACCTTCTCACTCTCTAAAACTCCGTGACAGGAGGCTGTAATGAGGTGGGGGCCAGCCTCTTCTCCCGGGAAGCCAGTGATAAGTCAAGGGGAAACGGCCTTGAATTGCACCAGTGGAAGTTCAGGTTGGATATTAGGAACAATTTCTTCCCAGGAAGGGTGTTCAGCCGTTGGAACAAGCTGTCTAGGGCAGCTGTGAAGTCACCATCCCTGGAACCATTAAAAAAAAACCCAAGTAGATGTGGCACTTGGTGGTATGGTTTAGTGGGCATGATGGTGTTCATTTAAAGGCTGAATTTGATGCTCTTGGAGGTCTTTTCAAACCTTAATGATTCCACGATTCTGTGGGGCCAGATTCCCCCTTGGTATGACAATGATAAAAGGCCAGTGAAGACGGTGAGTTTATAGAATAATAAAATCATAAAATGGTTTGGGTTGGAAGGGACTTTCCTGCCAAGGGTGTTGGAACTAGAAAATGTTTAAGGTCACTTCCATACCAAACCATTCTATGATTCTATGACACATTTATATATATATATATTGACTTTAAACTTCCAGTTTGGAACACCAGCTTGAAATTACTGTCCCTCAACCATTTCTAGATATTCTGATCACTCCGGGGAAGCAAACCAAAACCCTCAATACACTTCAGGGAGGTAAAACCCAGAAAGATATTTTATCAGAATCAAGAATACAAGAGAGGCATAACTAGGGCACAGGGGATCATTCAGAATGATATCAATGTTCCTGAATTCACATGGTGTCTTTTATTGAAGATGCAATCAATATAAAATTTATGTAATATATTATTTGTATATACTTTTTTTTGTTTTTTACTTTGTTTTTCTCTGTTCCTGGTCTTTTACCTGCTGTGTCAGCTCTTTGCTCATTGAGCAAGTTTTTTTATTGTGGCTTTCTGTAGAAGAAGAGTTGTTCGTGTCAAACTGAATTTTTAGTTCTCTGGATAAACCAGAGAATCCACAAAGAAATCAAAACAGGAGGGAACAGATCCAAGATTTTTGTTGCTATTATTACTTCTACTGAAAGATAAAAGGACCAACAACAAAAGTGGGTTTGAGTCAAACAAAGCATAATTAGTACTTTTTGCTTTTTTTTCCTTTTAAATATAATGCTGTAAAAGTTTAGAATTAAATGTTTTCCAACACCCTTCCTCCTAAATCATTTATGAGAAACTTTCAAAATACCATTTTTTCAAATTATCCAAAACAATTTAATGAGTTTAACATGAATTTGTAATTATTTTAATCTCTTTGAGCTGCCATTTTTGGATGACAAAATGTTTTTCTCCTAAAAATCATGTCTATACTAAACCTCTTACAAAAGAGCTTGAGGCCAGGCCTGGAGCACTAAATGGTGCCACGGTACAGGAAATACCAGAATCATAAGCTATACAGCAGAATTAGCTACAAACACGAGTGTGTCTTTCTGAGGAATTAAGGATAAGTGAATAGTTTGTGTATTCTACTGCTTTTGTGTCCAGGTTAAAACCCCTGCTCCACAAAGGAGAGCTGATGCCACCAACATTGTGTAGTTAAAGGTTCAGACATTTGTTTGCTATCTGCAATGTTTGTAGGACTCATATATTATGAGTCCCATATCACATTATCACAGTTCCTCACATCTGTCATCTGACAACAGATGACTCCCAGAGATATTGAATTTCGTTGTTTTTCCTCAGTGGAAATGTAGCTGAGGACCAGAGACTGGTAGAACATCCCTCTGTCTCCAGATTCCATTGCCTCCACTGTCATCATAGAGCCATGGAATTATGGAATGGTTTGAGTTGGAAGGGACCTTAAAGCTCATCTCATTCCATCCTCCCTGCCAAGGGCAGAGACACCTTCCACTGGAGTTCACTGATGTCCTCTCTAGTGATCAAAGAGGGATTGACCCATTAAGGGCAAAAATTAAGTGGGTACTTCACAGAATCTGAGAGAGGAAACCAAGCCTTTCAAGTTTTAGTCTAGAGCCTGCAGACATAACTTTTCTTCCTGCTGGCAGACACATTCTAGGCATTTTTAAAAACAATTAGGGATGAATAACCAAAGAATTGTAGAACAGATCAGTCTGGAAGGGACCTCAAGAACTCATCTAGTCCACCCTTATGTGGGAAAGGGAAATTATCTACCACCCTGTCTGACTGCATCTTGAAAACCTCCACTGATGGAGACCCTGCCACATCCCTGGGGAGGTTGTTCCAAAGAATCATAGTCATAAAACAGTTTGGATTGAAAGAGGCCTTAAAGCACATCCAGTTCCAACCCCCTACCATAGGCAGGGACACCTTTCACTAGACCAGGATGCTCAGAGGCCCATCCAGCCTGGCCTTGAACACTTCCAGGGATGGGATGTCTTGTGGTTGTTCTCACTGTTTAAAAAAAAAAAAAAAAGTTATTTCTTGTATTGAGGTAAGACTTTTCCCAGTGCAAATAGTACCTGTTGCCCCTTGTCTTCTCCATGTGTCTCCTTGTGCAGAGAAACCCTTCATCGTTTCTGTGGCTTCCCTTTAAATACTGGAATACTGTGATGGGGTCTCCCCTGAGCCTTGTCTCCTCCAGGGAGAACAGACCTAACTCCTTCAGCCTTTCCTCACAGGAGATGTTCTCCAGCCCTTTGATCATCTTTGTGGCCCTCATTTGGATCCTCTCCAGTTCTCATGTACTGAGGGATTATGAAGTTCTGGGTTATAGGGTGTACCTATCATGTAATATGTTCTTCCTGTTGTTAAAGTGTTCCTTGCATTCCCTGTGAATAATTGCATTTATTTTCTACTCTGCACTAGTCAAACCTGACACCTCCTTGTAAGTTCTTTCGATGCAGTAGAAATGTCAGTGATTTTCAGGTCTGTAATGCCTGATATCCCTGTGGGATAGACATGTATTTCGATGTTATTTTCCCAGGCAGAGAATCTGTGACTTGCCCAAGATCAGTCATTTAATTAAAGCAATTTAATGTCATAAACCAGCCAAACTCTGAACCCAAAAGCACCCTACCCTCTTCAGGCAAGTTGAAGAGTGTGTTTGCATTGACTAGAACCACCCAAAAGTGTATTTTACACACTATTTTTTATAAAAAACCCATGCCTAGACTAATTTTTTTGAACTTTACTGAACGTTTAAATTCTGACTGTGATT